GAAACAACTTCACTGGGACTATTCCATTTCAGAGCACACATTCAACAGAGTCGATTGCACTAATTCAGCCTGTTCTCAGGATCGTTGATCTGTCAAGTAATTCTTTGTCCGGTCCGTTGCCACCAGATATTTCTAACTTGCAAAGAGTTGAGTTCCTTACTCTCGCAATGAATGAGTTGTCTGGGGAGATTCCAAGTGAGATAAGCAAACTTCAAGGATTGGAGTATCTTGATCTATCACATAATCACTTTACTGGCAGAATTCCTGATATGCCCCAGGCTAGTTTGAAGATATTCAATGTGTCCTACAATGATCTACAAGGAACTGTTCCTAAAAGTGTTGAAAAATTCCCCATAACCTGCTTTAGACCTGGAAATGACCTATTAGTTTTTCCAGATGGCCTTCCTGCTGGAAATTATGATGATACTGGAGTCGCTCAGAGTCAATCGTCTCATGGACATAAGGCTGGCGTTCGAGTTGCTCTTATTGTTGGCTGCATTGGAGCTGCATTGCTTGTGATCTTCATAGCATTGGCAATCTATGTGGTCAGGTCTCAAGAGCTTTGCGGAAGAAATGGATTTAGAGGTCAGATTACTATTAGAGATCTAAAACTGGGGAGGTTAAGCCGACCAAATCTTTTCAAGCCTCCGAAAGATAATGTTATACCAACTAAAACAAGTTTCTCAAATGACCATCTCTTAACAGCTGCAGCTAGATCAATGTCTGCTCAGAAAGAGCTATTAGCTGAAGCTGCTGTTGAGTACGGCTATGCTGATCCAAAAGAAGTCACTGAACCCTCGAGTTCAGGTATGGCTGAGACCTCTGCTGCAGTCCCTGCTATGGAGCCCTCTCCACGGGTTGTGCTACCAACATCACCACATTTTATTGATAGTAGATTCCATGAGGAACCTGTGGCATTTGAAGTGTACTCACCCGATCGGTTGGTCGGAGAATTGATTTTCCTAGACAGCACTTTGGTTTTCACAGCTGAAGACCTGTCCCGAGCACCAGCAGAGGTTCTTGGAAGGAGCAGTCATGGCACGACATACAAAGCTGCACTACAAAGCGGCCATGTCCTGACAGTGAAGTGGCTGCGTGTTGGCCTCGTAAAGCATAAAAAGGACTTCACTAAGGAGATAAAGAGGATTGGGACCATCAGGCATCCAAATATAATTTCGTGGAGAGCTTTCTACTGGGGTCCTAAGGAGCAAGAAAGACTCATTATTTCTGACTACGTCAATGGCGACAGCTTGGCTCTTTATCTTTATGGTAACTATCCCATGCTCACTTGAATCGGCAATGGATTTTTTCCTTGTTTGGTTGACATGCATTCCTAATTTACAATGGAATACCTAATATTTACATTGTCTGCTTGATTATTACTATCTTATTTGTTCCATATATTTGCTGGGTCATTCATGTCAACATTTGTTTCTTCCATTGCTGAAATTTTGATCTCCTCGCATGTGCTGCAGAGTCAACTCCAAGAAGATACTCCCGCTTGTCAGTTTCTCAACGGCTCAAAATTGCCATCGACCTGGCACGCTGCCTCCAGTTCTTGCACCATGAGAAGGGTCTGCCTCATGGCAACCTAAAGCCAACCAATATATTCTTGACGGGTCCTGATCTCTCCCCGAAGCTAGTCGATTATGGCCTGCATCGGTTCATGACTCCAAGTGGCACTGCTGAGCAAATACTTAACTTAGGGGCATTGGGGTACAGAGCCCCAGAACTGGCAAACACAGCCAAGCCAATGCCATCATTTAAAGCTGACGTTTACGCGTTTGGGGTGATTGTTATGGAGATGTTGACGCGGAAGAGTGCCGGGGACATAATTTCGGGTCAATCTGGGGCCGTTGATCTGACCGACTGGGTTCAAATGTGCAACAGGGAAGGACGGGGAACTGATTGTTTCGATCGAGACATCACGGGCTTGGAAGAATCTCCAAGGGTGATGGACGAGCTGCTTGCGATCTCTCTTAGGTGTATTCTTCCTGTAAATGAGAGGCCTAACATGAAGACGGTCTGTGACGATCTGTGTTCCATAACCGTGTGAGTTTCGTTTTAATTTCCCGTGTACATGTAACCGATTTTTCGTTCATCCCAATTTTTTCTGTGGGTTTTCCAGAGCCTTGTAGCCAGGGTTTGTTTGGTTGGTAACTCGAGTAGTGTAAAGAGGATTTGATCCCATCCATCCCATTGATTGATTGATACCATTGCCATCTTTCTTCATGAGTTCAAGAGGTTCCAACTCATCAAAAATTTCCCTGTTCTGAACTGTTCTCAGCTGTGCTTCCTTGTCGAAATTTGGAAAAATACTGTAGCTGTAACATGCAATTCTGAAGTTACTCCGATTTGGCCTGGCCATTGCTGGCTTTTACAACAGGGCACATGCAGTTTCTGATCTTCTGGAGCAGCTGCTTTGCATTGCAGCATGGCTCAGGATTTATTGAATGAATGAACACCCCCAGGAGGAGGCGTTCATTGAGCCGGTCCATTTTGCTGTAGCCTTCAATGTTTGCTGTGGAGAGACAGGCATTGGCCATGATCCCCCAACCTCAAGCTGCTTCCTCCACCCCCCCATCTTGGCCGTTGATTGGCATTGTATCAGATGCCGAGCCAGGTGGACGGCGGCGATCGCGGCAACGGCTCGCTGCGACTGGCGGCTGGGCCCAGGCCGGGTCGGGCCCACCTGGCAGGGAGAGATGTGAGCACGTTGGTGAGGGTCCCAGGTTTGGTTACCAGACAAGCATCTGGGGGCAGTCGTTTGGTTGCAGGAGCAGAGAACATATGGGTCATGGAGCCATTATGATTTTTTCGCCTCACTCACTCACTGTGGTCCTTGTCTGAAGCAGTTTTCTGTATCGACACATCTGTCATCACATGAGTGTACAGCTTCTCCTGTCCGTAGTCACCACCCATCATCTCACCATTCCGAATTTCGCTAAACCAAACCTTTTATTTTTTTTCTTTTGAAAGCGCTCAAGACGTGGGAACATGAAAATCGCATCAATTTAAATAGGATTTCAAAACAGATGAATGAATATAAGAAATAATGCCCATGGATGGTTCATAAGAAATAAAACGTAGTATGAGTTTTGGAGGAAGTTTGTCAGGTTAAGAGAGAATGTAGAGAGTGCATTTGACTTCTCAAAGGAATTCAGGATAAGAGTTTCAAAATTGCATTCCTTCAATCCAAAGGGCGCTATCCTAAGGATTTGAACATCCTCCAATCCAAAGGAGGCCTAGTCCAAACTGAGGCCCTGTTTACATTCCAACTTTTTTCTTCAAACTTCTAACTTTTCCGTCACATCGAACTTTCCTACACACATAAACTTTTAACTTTTCCATCACATCGTTCCAATTTCTTCAAACCTTCAATTTTAGCGTGGAACTAAACACACCCTGAATCCAAATCTTCTCATGCTGGTTGCCTGGTTAGTGTTTGCAGAAGTTCCAAGATCTCATAGTAGGTCCCAGCCAATGGACTAGTAGTAGACTAGGGGCTACTAGCTCTTGATGGCTAAGCAAGCTGTTCTGAATGTGTCCCTGGTTCGTCGCAGCGAGACGAAATGAATGGCGAGGCAGCCATCGTCGTCAGCATCAGTGATACTGGCCTCCATGAATGAATGCAAACAGTTAAAAGAAAAACAGATCAGCTTCTCCAATGTACCATTCTGCGCATCCAAGAGCAGGTTCTGAAGCTGGATTTTTCTTCAGCATTCATCCGACCACGCTGCTGAATCCGCTGTAAATAGATTGCCAATCTGATGGCGTAGCTTTGGCTAATTGAAATTGTGTCGGAGCTGAGAAATGAAGAATTAAATCGATTTAATTCTCCAGGAGTGAGCCCAATGGCGTCGTTGCCTTGATGAAAGCTGCCCCACGCCGCCATGGCGGCCGGATGACGTCATGACGAGGCTGGTAATTGGACCAGCCATGAATGGCCAGTGTGAGAGGTTAATCCAAAAAAAAAAAAACATAACCTAGTATGGAATTGGACATAATCGTATTTCGAATCTGGTCACTCCTATTCAAATTCGTTATACTAAATTATGTCTCATCAATATTAGGTTAAGTTTTTTTAAACGGAGGGAGTAACTAATAAGAAAAGAGAAGCAATTTACTTCATATTCCAACAACAGCTGGGATAGGGAAGTGGCACTAGTTGCTGCGATCGTGGAGGCTTGCCTGCGCTCACGAGCTCGAGGAGGCCAAGCTCGCCGGAGATGATGGTGCGGCGCCGAACCGTCTATCCCCGGCGACGGGGAGGGCGAGTGACGTCACGTGGCGCCGTTGACTGCCTGACCCCAGATGTCAGTGAGATGGCGCGGTCCAGCACTGGGCCATTCATGACCGTTGGATCGGACCTCAGCGTCCCAGATTGGCCGATGGATGGAGCTTTTGCATATAAAACCCCCCATTTGTACAAAATAGCAGGCTTCTCCTCAAGATTTGTTACGCCGTCGAGAGGTAGTCAGGTAGAGGAAACTTGGATTTTTCATTGGCAATTTACGAATTCGTAAGCTACTGCAAACGCCATGACTGCGATGCTGAAGCTGGAGGCTCTACCAGCAAAGGCCAGTGAAACAAATTTGGGTTAATTTGATATGTGCCATTGCAAATATACTTATTCAGATATACCATTATAATTCGTATATTTGTAACGATGTCATTTAAATTTTATAAAATTAGAACCATGCCATCATCATCATATTTTCCATCTTCTGCATGTGGGATTTTCAGAGGTTTGGAAGAAAATCGTTTTGGACAGCGACACGGTCTCCAAAAACACAACTTTGACTTCTTGTTTCTATAAAAATATTTATTGAAAAGTGATATATGTATACTTTTATAAAAGTATTTTTTCAAGACAAATCTATTCATATAAATTTTACATTTTCAAACTCAACAACTTGAGAGTCATTCATGATTTATATTCCTAAGGTTTGACTTAAACATTGTCCTAAACGACTTTCTTTACGAGTACGAAGGGAGTATGGATGATTTGAAACAACATTATTCATGCCCAGTAAACAATAGCTTTGGATGTTTTCTGTAGTATTTACAAAGTGTCAGAGCTAGAGGCACCACACAGAGAATGCACTTTGTTTTGCTCGGACAAACAAGAAGGTTACAAAATTACCCTAGCATAATTACAATTTCGCATGTAACAAGTATACATATCTGATAGTCATATCCCTTGCAATACAGTCCATCTGCTGGAAACAATGAATAGAGGATCTGCATAAAGAACTTTGATTGAATCACTGGGCTGCAGGTTGCAGCAGTTGGCCCAGATGGATTTCGCCGTTGGCCACATCTTTCTGCTCCATGGGAGAATTCTGGATTTCCAACAGTTATGATCCAATGTTTCCCTTGAGCTCATTTTTTCTTGCGTCAATATATATTCACTAAATGGAACTTTGGCGAAACCTTCTAGTATATGCTGGGAGAGGTGGATGGAATTTGTGAAAGAACATTTGCGTAGTTACTTTAGGAAATTTATGTTGTCGTCTTCATCTGTATCTAGCTCAAGCCCCTCAAGAGCTAGAAGTCTACTGATCTCTTTCTTCTTGTCTTCCTCTGCCTTCTTGCGCATAATATCCCTCTTCCGCAGGACAAGGGTATGCCTCTTTAGAGTGGTGCTGTAGAATTCCATGGATGCCTTCTTTTCCTTGGCAAACAGTTTCCTCTCCTCCTCAGGATCAATCTGGATCCAGTGCTTATAAAATCAGACCTAGATATAAAAAGCATGAAGATAACAATGACAAAGAAATGTTCTAATATTACCTTTGATCGTGAGAGACGGCGAGCACGTAATGTCATTTCCCGATGCTGTTGCTCAGCCCAAGCAGCTACTGCCATGTCACCACGTTGATCAAAAGCTTTTCGCTTTTTCATCACCCACTCCATCCATGCCTGAGAAGCCTGACGAATGGACAAAAAGAAGCTTTCAGAACAGAAAAGCCTCTATTGACTAAAATTTCTCTGCAATACATTTCAACACTCGCAATTTCAAATTATCAAAATGATATAGAAATTTGACACAATAATCAATAAGTGGCCAAAGAAACCCAGACCTTCATTGGATTCACATGATGCTCTCTGTCATATGACTTTCTCCTTTGGTCATCAATCAGTAGCTCATATGCTGCTTGGATTTTGATGAAGCGGGCTTCGGCAGTTTCCCCTTCCTCAAGGGTTCCCTTACCATCATAAACTAAGAGGACAAAATAATCAGATGGAATGAACAGAAAAAAAAAAACTATTGGGCCATGCATACCAAATAACATTAATTGGCCATGAATACCAAATAGCACTAATCAACTAAAAAGTGCCCTCCTGTATTGCCATGCACCAGTTTATTGCACACTTCACTTATTTATCAGCAGGTAAACTACCAACCTATCACTTCTCTTTGCTAGACATATTTTTTTTTGCCAGGCTTTGCTAGACATACTTTGGTTAGTCTTGAATTTATTTATCGGTGCATATTCCCTTTTGGCTTTTTAATAGGCTTGAAGAGGACCACTTAATTTTGATGCTTATGAATGGATGAATCATAATGTTAGAGTACATATTCTGCAACTCTACACTACCATAATTTTGTATAATTGTCCATTCCACTAAAATCTCATGCTAGATATATGCACACTTACACATGCAGAAATAGCTTTATGCTGCGCAAAGTATGCCAGGCAAGAGATCGGATTTTTTACAGGCTTACAACCAAAACTTGGCAAGATAGCAATAAACAGGAACAGAAGATTGCTTGATAGGAAAAGTAGAAATAACTGTAAAGAGCATACCATCAGGGTGATAGAACTTGGCCAATCGCCTGTATGCCGTCTTTATTGTCTCCTCATCTGCATCCCTGTCCAGCTCTTCGAACCATACACCGCACCAAAAAGACGCACCCATAAGTTTCACGGCTAATTCCATGTCCACACTACACAGTACATATCAAACTAAAATAAACTAGGGCACACTGAAACGATAAGAAACTAGCAACCAATCCACAATTTTGGCATCAAACAGCTAGATCAAACGATCAGATTCTGGCAACCAATCCCCAATACTGATCACCATTGAAGCTCCATCGTATCGAAGGCAGTGATAACAAAATCGATAATGTTCCACACTTCCACACAACAAAATCCCCAGGTACCAATCCTGATTCCAACTGCATATCCACTAGCTCTCACCAGCAGGGGGGGGCAATAGTGTCATCATACCGAGCGTCTCGTACGGTGATTTCTCCGAATCCCAGCTCGCTGCGCGCGTAGACACCCTCCTCCGCTCGCCCCCCGCGGCCCTCGCGACCTCGTCGAAGACGAACGCGGAGGGCGCCCTCCACGGGACGCGGAAGCTCCGACCGAGCGGCGGCGCGAGAGCGACCCGCCGACTGGAGCCTCCCGCGGCGGCGGCGGCGCAGGTGTGGAGTAGGGTGGAGATGGCTCGGAGGCCGCTCATCGCCGGCGACGCGGAGGGCCTAGGGTTAGGGCGCGGAGGAGGGGAGAGAGGTCGGAGCTTGGAGGCGCAGTTTTTCCGTCTTTTTTTTTTCCTTTTTGTGGTGAAATGGAGGGAACGCCTCGCGATGGTGACACGTGGATCACTTCTCTTCTCTAAAATTCAAATTAAAAAAAATGTAGGTGCGATTTATACCATTTCCTTTCTGATTACAGCGTGTATTTCACTCTTGCTGCAAAAGAACACACATACAGCAAATTTTTCAAGCCAAGTACAAGTATGATGTTCTTCATTTTGCTCATTTTGTAGTTGCAGGTGTGGAGAATGAGCATATGAATGAGCAGGCACATTTCAACTATATTTTTTTATTGGATAGGAAGTACTGTACAATTACATGTATATTTACAAATTGAAGGTGCTTTACAGATGCCAGCTGATCAATTACACCCTCTTCTCTGCATATTCATTGTCACAGGTTATGGTCAGTTCTGTACATCAACCAAAAACCTTATGATCAGCTGAAAGCCTATGCAGAGGCTTGCAGTGTCCTAAATTAACAGCCTGGCTTCAGAGAATACATGAGCGCCTAACCATCACTTCTTTTTGGAGCCAGTGCGATTGAAGGTGTGGGCTCTTTCCCATTGCGCAACGTCTTCAACCCGCGACGGTGGTGGTGGTAGGACGTCGCGCTCTACCATATCCCAGCCTTCTAAAATGTTGTCTGGAACTCCACCATGCTTCGTCGGTTTACCGCTATACAGGAAGCTCGTGTTGGAGTTCAGCAGGAGGTTGTCCAGAGAACTAGGCTGATTAAAGCAGAGATCCTATCAGTTGTGATGTAACCACATTGAAAGTATACACAATGTATAAAAAGCAAAAAGAAAGGCTACTAGTAGATTACCATTATAGCTGTGTTCACACTGTCCATCAGGCTGCTGTTAGATGAGATAGCGGAGCTCGCTTTCCATATAGATCTATTTAGTTGCTGTCCTTGCTTCTCTGACCTGCATGCAGAACAGAGAATTGAACTTCTGTTTTATTTTTGATAACCAAGAATATGCAATCATAGATACATTTATGCATTGTAATCCAATAACATGTTAATTATACCTTGAAGCAACGTTCGATTGAAGAGTTGTGCGAAGGACCTTTAATGATGATAGCATATGGAGCAACTTTGCAAATGCTTCAAAAGTAGAAAGATTGGATGGCACATCCATACCCAATGAGTTATAGTAATAGGTAGTAATGGCAGTAACACTTGTCTTTAGTAATGATATTCCTCTTTGCAAATCTTGGTGCCTCTCCATGGAGTGAGAAGATGCAATAGAGAAGTTAAAGCTATTGCTTCTCTTGGAGTCAAGAACCGATTTGTTGTCTGAATCAACAGATTGAACACCAAAGTTACCCGAACCACTTTCCGTCCATGAATTATCCTCACCAACAGAGCAATTATTTTTCCTAGGTATAAAAAGTGGGTAGACTTTGCTGAAAAGAAGAAAACATTATCACATCAGAATGTTTGTGTGTTGCAGAGAAAGAGATGTGCTGCACTTTCCCATATATACTACCTTTGGGACTGTCGTGTGCTCCAGTAGGAACTACGCTGCCATACACGTGAACACGAAGCCTAATAATACATTATAAAGAAATTGAATATATCAGCCATACAACCAACTGAATAATCGATTGAGAGCATATGCATATAAAAATCTAAACAAGCATCGCATGCAGAATATATTTGCATGAATTTGCATAAAAATGCCATGATCCTAACTAGTCTCAGACAGATTGTAAATGCATCCACATCTACAGCTACAGGACAAATATACTGAATCTCCCAATGTAGCATGCTAAAGCCAAGGGTTGATAGTCATGACACTGAATTTCATCTTACCCCAAAGCCAGATATGTGGAGGACAGGTGCGGCTAGGATAGGAACTACAATACTGAGGAGCTGTAACATGTACCTGGAACAAAAAGAAATAAATGTTAAGTTCCACAGAATTGAGAACCAAATACACATACTAGTATATTTCAATATATTATTATTATGCGCAGCTGTACCCCAAAGAAGCTGATAATTCTTCGGATGGAACTGAATGTGGGTCGAGACCACGAGGTAGACGAGCGTTGCATATTACATCATATGGACCATTGTAGCCATCATTCTGTTCGCCATCCTTAATAACCTACAGATTGAAATGAATACATACAAATCCTTATTAATGGAACTCCAGAGAATATTTAAACAATATTATCAAAAGGATTTTTTTTAGGTAACAAAATTTAATAATTGAACATGACGAAGAGGGCAAATAACAGCATAATACCACAAACATGTGAATTTAGACAGTGGAAAATGTAAATTTCAGTAGAAGCTACATGCTGTTAAAAACAATATAAAACTTACTCGTCGCAATGGGAACAATCTGCAAAGTTGCTTCATAGCTTTTGACTGCATTTTTAAATGCTCTGAGGTAGTTGCCATCTGCCAACAAAATATAAAGTCCTTCAGTAACAGGGAAAATAGGCCAGATAGATAATGGATAACAAATGAGGTCTTACTACACCAATCAAACAAGTAAAGAAGCAGAAGCAAATATGACTCACAAGACCCATCTGTGCTGCTTTCATGGCATTGGTGTGCATCACCGATGAATCATTTCGCTTCTTTTTCAGCTGGCAATGAGAAACAAGATATATGAAAGATAAGTAACCTGTCAGGGTTTTATTTTTTAATCAAAGGGAAACACTAAGAAAGACAGCCTCATACCGTGACAAAAGCCAAATTCAACAATGCCGTTCTCTCTCTGAGATCACGTGATGCCTGCTCAGCTTTCTTCTTCTCTGCAAGAACATCAATTCAATAATCAGAACTCAGTATCACTTATTGGCATCTTAACACATATGATGAGTACACGGTGTTAACCTATCGCATTTCGCCTTTTCAGTTCAGCGAGATGATCCCTCAGCTCCTTGATATCGTGTGCCTTGCTCACCCTCCAGTTTCTCTGCTCGTCCCCTTTCCTCTATAAACAAGTCAAAGATGCAGTCTTTCAGGATAATGGTCTAACCAAACACCAAAACTTTACAGCATACAGCTATTCAGACACAATCGATACAACCATTGCCATCCTAGTTTCAGATACACACTACGCCTCTCGACCCAACAAGATATTTTACACATGCAGAACTTATAACTAAACCCAGGTCATAGTCTCATAGAGTCCAAACTGAGGCATCATACGTGGAAACTAACCACCAAACGAGACCTAATTTGTTACAGTCTCGGGGGAATGGGGGAGAATTCAGGGCACCACCAACCTTGGCATCGAGGCGCGTGGCTATACGGGCGTTGAGGGAGTCGCGGAGATTCTTCATCATCCGCAGCTTCGCGTGGTATTCCGCCAGCCTGCACAAACCCCAAAATCCAACAGCACCATACAGAGTTAGGATCAATCCAAACACGGAGGCCATCAATCAACCTCTGATCGAATCAGGGGGGCACAAGTAGAACATCCTACTTGGAGTTCACGCAGGCCGAGCAGCAGGACGGGAGGTTGGATCCCTCGCAGAGCGCGCAGCAGCTGCTGGTGTTGCCGCCGCTGCCCCGCCGGGACGCCATCATCTCGAGGCCCCGCGCCCAATTCGACGGGGCAGGAGGAGAGGGGAGGGGTTAGGGAGGGCTTCCGCTGCCGGCAGCGTAATACGGGTCGCCGACTTCGCGGTGGCGGCGGCCGCGGCGAGGAGGGTTGGTTGGTTTGTTACTGCAAAGTCGCTTGCGTGAGGGAGGAGATGAGAAAGATAATTCTGGCGTAGAGAGAAGAAAAAGACTCGAGTTAGGAAAAAAGAGAGAGAAAACTACGAGGAGTCGGAGACCCGTTCCTCTTTACGGTTCGAATTGGGCCGATAAACCGGTAAAAGTACATGGGCCGTGGCCCATGGACGAGTTCTTTGTGAAGCCTATCTTAAGCCTTGCAAACTTGCAAAGAATTTATGCAGATGTTTTTTACTTTAGTTTTTGCGAGAACAAATTTAGAGGCTCATTTTTACAGTTTTTTGTGTGCATTTTCATTCAAAATCACGCCGTGATTTATTAGAACAAAACACAAATAGAACCACCTAGTTTTTATCTTCTTTTGTGATGAAGCAGCATGCAGCCATCCACCCAGTTCAGAAGAACGGATTACAAAACATTGCCAGGTTCACAAACGGAACCAATAGTTTGCGCGACGAGTTTAGGGGGGAAATGCTGCGACTTAGCACATATGCATTCCCCCAGTTCATCAACATTGAAGGTAAGCATCGTCTCCATCGATCAAAAGGTGCACAATTAACATACAATCCAGATCGGCATGGGCGAGCAACAGCTAACAGTTTCGGAGATGCAGAAAACTACACCTAGTTGTATGTACAACCAAAATGACCTTCTCGGCTCTCAAGACCTAACCCTTGCAAAAGCCTCTTCAAGTGTCAAATTGTACCACTCATGGCAGCAGCAGCAGCAGCAAATTTGAGCCACCCTACGCTGCCTTCTTCCCTTTGCCGCGTGCTGCAAGCTTGGCAGATACCACCTCTTCTGAAACAGGCATGTAGTAGATCCTCGGAGAGGCCTGTGTCTTCCTAAAGAGATCATCAAGAGTCACCACCACAGGTGGTTCTGGGTTCTTTGGAGCGGGCGGAAGCATCTCCCTCGCTGGTGCGTTGTTGAAGGTTGGAAGCCTAGCAAGTGCTGGTGGTGTGGGTAATAGCCCCCTTGATGTATCAGCAGCATGAGGAGGCATGATTTGGTTGGCCTTGGATTGGTGGGAAGGTGCTGTAGCTGCTGTGGGGTTGATAGGTGCTGGAGGTGGGGGAGGGGGTTCAAGTTTGGCCTTCACCTCATGTGGATCAACGAATTCAGCAACTAAGGAACTGCCATTGTTTGGAGGCCATTGGAGATTGTAAACAGCATTCCTGGTAGCCAGAGCTTCCTCCACCGAAGAGAACTGAAAATCAGTGTGGACAAGAAGACAAATCAATACAATTATACCGTTGCAAATTACAAAGAGTACAGACAGCAATATGATGAAATGCTTTGAAGCCTGAAGTAATTATACTGAAAAAGAATGCAGTGTGGAAATGCCATAGTAATTTATAAGCATGAATGCACTTTTGATAATATTCTGCAGATGTAACATAATATATTTGCAAGTTAAGGACATACTGTGACATAGCAATGAGTCTTGATAGGATCCATCCAAAAGCTACAAACAGATCCAGTTTTACCAAGAAGCTCTTGCACAGCTTTCAAAGTGAACGGGCGCACAAATCGATCGATTCTCAAGGAAGTTGTTGCAGGTTTCTGAGGCGGTGGTACTGAAATATGAATAGGCAAGAGATGAATTTGGTAACAATGGTGAAGTATATACTTTACTAAAAAGGAAGAGAAACCTCACCCATCCTCTCCTTCGGAGAATTTCCACGTGCTGTTGAATCAGACCTGCCAAAAGAACGTCTTCGAGCAGGCGGGTGTACAACTTTAGAAGCATCAGAACCACTTAGTTTGGAAGTTGCTTGCTCAGGTTTGACATCATCCACATTCCATAGGCGCTGACGTTTGATTGGCTCATTATTTGCAACAACTTCTTGATCTGTGCATTCAACAGTGAGTTAAAACAAAAAATAGAGACCATTTCAACCTTATATCAATTATTATCAACTTGAGGACTGAAGCATGTGAAATTATGATGAGAAATCTTACTTAAGTAATTTTAAAAAAGTGTATACACAGAAAATGTAAAAGAGCATAAAAAGGGTACAATTGTTCCATAGAACATACTAGTATCAAACAGTAGATATAATGCACTTCACTCCGGACACTTACAGATCTCAGATAATGTGCATCAAAGCATAGAAAAAAACAAATGAAACAAAAGCAGAAAGGTGTCATCATAACACTGCAAAAATGACTGAACACTGTAAGGGGATGAAGACAGACCTTCAGCTTTCCTCTTTTCAGTCGGCATTACTGGCTTCTCTTGACTTATAGCTTCCTTTTGATCTACAGATGAACCCTCAGTGACAGTATCAAGGAGGATCACCTCTTTTACCACATGCTCTAAGGTGACATCATTCTTTCCTTCGAGATAATCAGGTTTTGTATTGGAATCCACGTGCTTAGTTTCCATCACATCCTCCTCCATTGATTCATCTCCTGAACTCACATGTTCAACTTTTGTATTGGAATCCACGTGCTTAGTTTCCATCACATCCTCCTCCATTGATTCATCTCCTGAACTCACATGCTCTAAGGTGACCTCACTCTTTCCTTCGAGATAATCAGGTATTGTTTTGGAATCCATGTGCTTAGTTTCCATCGCATCCTCCTCCATTGATTCATCTCCTGAACTCCTATCCAAATTTAGTTTTTCAGGATAAATACTATCAGGACTGCCTTCTTTCTTTTTCAAGCTCATATCAGTATCTTGCAGAGACATGTCGATCAGAGATATCTCTTTGTCATCATCTGGTGTCTGCAAATCATCACCAACGGAGGAGGGATTGCTGGATGATGGCTTGACAATATCCTGCTTAGACTCTAGTCCTAAATCAAAATTGTCAGCGTTCATGTTGCCTTCTACATTGTCGTTTTTATTGACTAGTATATCATCAGGAGAAATTGACACACACTTAATTTGAGACTCTAGATCTTGGTTGACTTCAGATACCTGATCCTTTGGTCCAGACTGCTCGGGTTTGCAGTCAGTGCTTATGTGGTCAGAATCCTTTTGGTCCTTCTCATACATTAAATCATTCTCATTGGAATCTTTCTTAAGAATCAGGCTCTCTGTAATCATTTCCTCTGCACTTGCAACAGCGTCAGCATGTGACAAAATAACATCAAGATGTGATGATTTCGTTTCCTGTTCTAGAATCTCACAGCCTATACTGACACATGGTTCACCTTTAGCAGATGATTCCTCCAACTTGGTATTAGTACTGGTATCATCAGATGATATGTCATCAACAGTCATTTTCTTGCTGCTGCCATTGTCTGGAGTCTTCTCTGCAATGACCTCACAATGAATTTCAGCATGTGAACATACTTCCTTCACCACATTACTGTCACTTGGAACAGATTCTGGATCACCTTCTTTAGTTGCTTCTGCATCACCTAGAGAATTTTCATTAGTTCCGGCCACATCAACTAGAGGGGCCTCACTGACCTCTGTAACAGCAACTAGAGCCTCCGGACTAACCTCTGCAGCGGCAACAACTGCTTCCTGACTAACTTCTGTAGTAGCAATTGCACTATCTTTACTAGCTTCTGTAACAGAGACAAGGCCTTCATTCTTTGCAGCAACCTCAGAAGGACCTTCATCAACATTTTGTTCCGTTGAAGCCTGGATACCAGATGCATCAGCTAAAACAAGAGTTCCGTCCTCTGTACTAGCTTCTGTAACAGAGGCAAGGCCTTCATTCTTTGCAGCAACCTCAGCAGGACCTTCATCAACATTTTGTTCCGTTGAAGCCTGGAAACCAGATCCATCATCTAAAACAAGAGTTCCGCCCTCTGTACTAGCTTCTATAACAGAGACAAGGCCTTCATTCTTTGCAGCAACCTCAGCAGGGCCTTCATCAACATTTTGTTCTGCTGAAGCCTGGAAACCAGATGCATCATCTAAAACAAGAGCTCCGTCTTGTGTCTGATTCTCCACAGGGGGAGTTCCATTGACTGTTTCTTCCCCGCCATCAATAACCTCCCCCTGAAGGGCCTCAGCAAGCCTCTTCACAAGATCATCCTTCAAACCTTTAATAGATAGATCCCTCCTACGGAGCTCATCCTTCAATTCAGTAACCTTCCACTCATCAATTGGTCGGTCATTCAGCACAGGACACGTTGACATTGTGACTGCCAAAAATTCACACTTATCACAATCAAAGTGGCTATACAATTAAATAGGAACAATGTGCAGCCTTCTAACATGTAGAACTGGAAATTACAGTTATAATGAAACAAGAACAGACTGAATAACTGTAATCTTCAGTTGAAACTGCACAAGTATGTATATAGTTAAGTCATGCCATGTATATGCATTCTTGCATTAGGAATTCTGATGAAGTAGCAGTTTATATGCAGACAAAATTTGTTCTTCAAAAGATCCAACTCCCAGATTCTGGTGAAAAATTCCTATACTGATATGCTCCATGTCAAAACAGAATTTTACATTTGATACGAGCTGTATGCTAAGTACAAGGGAGAAACAGCTGAGAACAATTCCTATATTAAGCATGAAAACATTACATACGACATTTCCGCACACAAGGAACATGCAAAACAACATGAGGCAGTTAGAGACTTCACTTTAGCAGCATACCCGAAACACATATACACATAACGCATTGCAGACGTCTCCGATTACTTTCAGGTTTCAACCCCAATCACAAGTGATCCCCACCTAAATCCCTAACCCCCAACTTGATAATACATTTACATGCAGCGTAATGATGCCAGTCTAGAACCCTAGATTGTGCTCTAAAACATAATAAGGAATATCAAATGGACCCTCAAGTAAAACCCTAAACATCGGCACATCGCAAACGGACGGAAGCTCGCAGCTCACCTAGCAACAACACCAACGCAGAGTCACAGAGAAATCTCAACAGTGTACGGAGCGAATCACCACCTTTCTCCCAAACCGCAAAATCCAACCTACAAGCCCGCAGCAACCGGATCAAAACCCACCACCCAAAACAAAAACCCCAGAACAAACGCAAACGCGCACACGAAGAGAAACGATTTCCACCGACCAGCAACTCCAGGAATCCACCGATCCCCCACGCGCCACCTGAAATGGAAAACAAAAAAACCGAAAAAAATGCACCAAAAAAATCCCAGAAAAAAAATCGCAAGCGGATCGAAAGCCTCTCGATAAGAGCGGGAGGCCTCCGCACGATCGGAACACGCGATCCCACCCCGCCGCGGCGGTTTCGATCTCTACGAGGGTTTTTGCGCTTTTGTTGCTCTCCGCTCCGCTCCGCCGAGGCGTGCGAGAGGAGAGAGAGAGAGAGAGAGAGAGAGAGAGAGACTGGCGCTCGGGGGGAGTCAGGACTCAGGAGGCAGTGTGTTGTGGAGTCGTATGGCGAGTCCTTGTCTCGGAGCGGAACAGCCACTACTCTCAATGACAGGTGGGCCACGGTATGCGGAAAATACGCCTCCGGTAGCCGCAGAGAAAAACTGAAACCCGCCTTCGAGCCTACGAGGCTCGTCCTAAACGGGCCAGAACGAATACGCTTTCGTGATCGGAAGGCGGAATGGTTGGGGCTACGTGTTTGTGTTCTCGTATAAGGGTCGTGTCGAATGGGCCAAAAAAACCCTAACCCCTCACCACGTAATTCCCGGGATTTACCGAAATGCCACTCTTCGCTTCCAAATTCGCGCCGCTGATCCCCCGGCTCCGCCGCCTCTCCACCGCGGCGGCGGCGGCGACGGCGACGGCCGCCGGGGAGGACCCGAAGCTGTCGCGCATAGCGGACCAGCTCCTGGAACTCTCCCCTGCCGAGCTCGACGACTACTCGGCGCTCCTGCGGCTCAAGCTCCGCCTCTCGCTCACGTCGAGCGCCGCATCGGGGGCCGCGGCCACTGGCGCGGCCGGAGACGCCGCCTCCGGCTCCGCCGGCGCGGAGGAGGCCGCGGCGGTGAAGACGTCGTTCGATGTCAAGATCGAGAAGTACGAGGCGGCGGCGAAGATAAAGATCATCAAGGAGGTGCGCGCGGTGACGGACCTGGGGCTGAAGGAGGCGAAGGAGCTCGTGGAGAAGGCGCCGGTCGTGGTGCGATCCGGGCTTCCCAAGGAGGAGGCCGAGGCGCTCGCCGCCAAGCTCAAGGCCGCCGGCGCCGCCGTCGCGCTCGAGTGATCCCGAGCGGAAGAACGGGTTCGCCCTTTTTATTTTTGGTTCCTACTGTTATCCTTAGATCGAAGATGCTACGCTTGTGGGTGCCTTGGTTTGTTTGGATTGAAATTCGATGCAATTGGGGCAATTGATCAGGTGTATAAGAAGATGCAGGTCTTGATTGCATTGTTGTAGCTTGCCTAGTTACTGATTTATCTTGTTGAATCACGCAATAATGTCTATTTTAGTGGTCTGGGATCACTGGATGGTATATCTGATTAGCTGAATTGACTTGTCTGGGGGGGCTTACAGAGATACAATTGTAGTTGGCTCTACTGTATCGAGTGATTCGCATATGGTTAGCTTCAGTTATTTGTTGCTTTGGAATGTCACCAGAATGAAAAGCCTCCTCTGTCTTTGTTCTTGTGCACCAGGATGCTAGCTTCAGTTATTTGGAGTACTATCTTGTAATCATATTGTGGAAGGCAAAGCTTAAATCTGCTCATATAGCTGCCATGTGAATTAATGTTTTAGATAGTACATTTCACTTGTTCATCTGAAGAAAACTAGAGATGTATTGTCTGTTTAACTGGTTTTGTTGGGTATTGAAATATGATTAGTTCATTTCAATGTAAGACTTCTGATGCCATGGATAGAGTATAGGTCTAGAATTTTTTGAACAGTTCTGAAAATTTTGGTCCACAGACATTACTTTATGAATATGCCGTGACAAAAATAAAAGTGAAAACTGCTTAAGCAATAAGCGTCTTTTGCCTCCTCGTTTCTTCAAAACATTGTTGTGTCCCTTTAATTTTTGATAATTTAATGCTTATCCCTTAGCTGGGCCTTTTTTGGTGCAGTGTTCTTGTGTGCCTTGAGTTGTTTGAATTGGAATTTCGATGGGATTGGGGAAATTGAGCAGGTGCATATTCTTATGCAGGTCTCGATTGCATTGTCGTTGCCTTTTCACTTTGAAATACTGTGATTTGTATACGCGTTTCGCTGTGATTTATTGGCTACTCATTTGGGGAGAGACCTTTCTGCTATTGATTTATTGTTGATTTTAGCTCTGTCCATGATGCCATTTCTCACTATTGCCTGGATTCTATCAGATTTATAGTTTGTACAATATTGGTATGCCCCCTTCAGAATAAAGTAAAAAATGCAGGCATGCAGACTATTGTTCTGAATGATGCAGAAAGGCATATTTGAGCTTTGGCCACAATTACAACAGAAGCGGATTATAATACGAGTAAATAAATGATATGAGTGGAACTTTCGGTTCTGCAAATTGAGCATTTTCTGTACCTTTATATGAAATTCAAACATATAATTTAGGCTTAGGCCTGGGAATCCCACCAGCTTGATGCTGTTGGTACAGCACTAGACTGAATCTCACACAAAGCTACTATGAGCTGAAATAAATCAATAGTAGGCAACATTAGTTGTGTTGATGGGTAAATAAACGAATCGTGCCTAATTGTCTTCAGTCTGCCCCTCAAAATGTCTCATTTTCCCATATTCAGAAACAATGCCAATTCAAACTGACTAACGGTTGTGTAGCAATTCACATGGCACATCTAAGCCAGAAGAAAGCCACAGGATGCAGCTAACAGGCAACACGTTTAGGTGACAGCCAACAAGTGAATTTGCCTCTGGCAATGGCCTTCTTTAACGAAAGTAACAAGATGGACCACGCGAGAAACTTTGTATAAATCATTAGCAGAGTAAGGTGGTACACAATCGCACAAGCAGCTACCGAATTTTGGTACAATCATATTTGGAAAGAAGAAAAGAATCCTTGGAGCCCCAAAATAATTACGTAGCAAATTAATAAAAAATGGGAAAACCCAAAAGCCAAAAGAATGAAACAACATCAACTGAAATTAATAAAAAATGGGAAAACCCAAAAGAATGAAACAACGTCAAGTGAACTACAAAAGGCTTCGCGGCATATGGTGAGGATGTCAGTGGACCGCATGGTGATGGACCAATTGTGGCGCCAAATCCTCCCATCTCAACTCCTAACCACGGTCACATCCAGCATCCTAAGTAGGGAATTAACATAATCCGTTAAAATTTGTACAAGATCAAATAGAAGATGCAGGCGTTCTCGTATCATCCTCTGATCTCTTCATTTGTACAAATGGAAATAGAAGGTGCAGGCTTTCTCGTATCATATCCTCTGATCTCTTCATACTGGGGGGCAGGGGCACCTCCTCCATCATTCCCTTCTGTGTAACAGGAAGCTGAGAGGAAAAAAAAATCAATCGGATCAATACGAATTCACGGATATGAATACTGAGTAAAAGAAATATAACAGAGACTCACGAGAATGATGACAAGTGTACCGATGAGCACGACGGTCGTCATGACGGTGAAGATGACCCACTCAATGCTCTGAACACCATATCTATCAACATTTCGAGATTTGGATGAACATTGAAGAAATAAAAACATATAGATAGCCTCCTTGGGAGTACCTGGAAGAATGTAGCGACCTCAGAAAATACGACTCGATCGAAACGAGGAAGACAAGTGGCATCAGCCAAGATGCTACTCGGGTGAGTGAGTATAGATCAGGGAGACGCCTCATGGACAGATGCGACACAATCATGAGGTAACATCCCGCAACACCCAAAAACTCCAAAGCAATGCTCGCGAGGCCAACTGGATGGGTCGTCTTCCACCTATCTGGCCCAGTACCGATGCCGAACGCTCTCTCCGGTGTGCAACTGACTCCGGCCTCGATCGGATGGACAAGGGAAATAAGTCCACGTCCATTCAGACTGAGTCCGACCACAATGCCGTAGAGAAAGGTGGCGCTCACAAACGAGGGAGAAAACACGCTGTCCACTCTACCCAGCAAACGGGCCTCGTTCTTACAACCTAGTGATTTTGGTTTAGAAAAAAAAAAAGATGAGCGAATGAGAAATCCTTCATGCCGTATAGATATAGTATAGAGAGATGGGAGTAGAAAACAACAGTAACGGTGAAAAGAAGCAGAAAACAACGACGTAAAGAAAAGCCGGCTAAAATCGATCAGTTCCTAGCGAGCAGCATCGGAGAGCGAACTAAAATCAGCGATCGAGAAAACACCCAGATTCTTCAGACCAGACACACAGAAGGGAGCAAACTTGCGCAGGCTCAACAACATCAGATCGTTCACGCGCACCACACTACACCACATGGTAAAACCCAACACACACAGTAGAAACATCAGTTCTTTCACGCCCGCGAGAACACGGGAGAAACTCACCCAAGATCGGATCAAATCGTCTCCACACACAACGGAGAAAAAGAAAACAACACCGCCACACAAGTACACAACACCAGTACCAGTACGCGTAGCAATGGATAAGAGAAACACGACGCCACTAGGGCTGGACGAAAAGCTTGTGACTTGTTAGCTCGCTTGGCTCATGACGAGCTCGGCTCGACTTGACTCAACTCGGCTCATTACGGTTTTGAAACGAGCCGAGCTACAGTTTCAGCTCGTTAGGCATAACGAGCCAGCTCGCTCGCGAGCTTAACGAGCTTACACATAGAGATAAGATAAATCAGTAGGACACCTATGGCCCATAAACAAAGCCCCATGACAGCCCAAGTACATTAGTCACCCGTGCATGCGTCTACCGAACAGAATAGTATCGCTTCCCCTTCCTCTCATCTATCTCCAAACTCCAATCCAGATCGAGTCGCCGTCGGCCACTCCGAGCTGCCGCACCAGCGCTGCTCCCTGTCTCCATCCTGTGTTGCCATCGGCCATGCATCCTTGTCAGTCATGACCATGGATGATGGAGCATGAAGAAACGAAAGGATGCTTTCTGCTCTCTACTTCTCTGTCACAGTAGGAGGCTTTTCTGATTTTGCTTTTCGTGGTGAAAGATTTCGGTGTTGTTGTGTTAGAGTTTCTTGATGGGAGATTGTAGACTTTTTCTTATATCTTTTGATAATTTCTCAGATAATTTTGGAGCCATTTCATGTTGCTGCTGCGTTCTCTACTTCTCTGTAGCATACTAGTTCTGGCTCGCGAGCCTAACGAGCTGGCTCGAGCTTTCAAACGAGTCGAGTCGAGCTGCTCGTTAGCCGGCTCGTTATCCGAGCCGAGCCGGCTCGCTATCCACCCCTATACGCCACACAGACCAAGGAATCTTAGTCCGAGTTTAGTTCTAGATTTTTTCTTCAAACTTTCAATTTTTCCATCACATTAAAACTTTCCTACACACACAAACTTTTAACTTTTCCATCACATCGTTCTAATTGCAATCAAACTTTTAATTTTTGCGTGAAATCAAACTTCCAACACACAGGGTGTGTTTAGTTCACGTCAGAATTGAAAGTTTGGTTGAAATTGGAATGATGTGACGGAAAAGTTGAAAGTTTATATATATAGGAAAGTTTTGATGTGATTGAAAAATTGGAAGTTTGAAAAAAAATGGAACTAAACCAGGCCTTACTGAGGCGAGCCATCTCGGTGGTGGTGCAGGACTGGAGTAGGGAACGAGCTCCTCTTCCTCTACGTTAGAGGGACATCCCACGTCGCATCTCCGTTCATTCAGCATCCAACGGTAGCTAGGCTTCCTGGTGCCGGATCCCCATCTTGGTTTGCTTGCGAATTTCCTAGTTGCTGATTTACCGATGGTGTCGACTGTCGAGGGTGGTTTTGCTTTGTTCTTGCTTGGGCTGGTATATCTTGGTTTTTTTTTTTTTGCTTTCTGTTTTAATCTAATCTAGTGGCTTGGAGCCTTGGATATTTTTTCCCTATTTATTAGAAGTATCACCAACTGTTTGTGTACGTTTCCGTAGATGCTGCAAATGTTGATGTATTCCATAATCTGCTTGAACTTCTTGGATTCCTTGAAAGCCTTGTCACTCCATGAGCTGGAGAAGACTTCGGCAGGGTGACGCGCATAGGTTGAGCGACACGGCGGCTAACTGTGAGGTGGCGCCGCCCTGGATGAAGAGCACCTCGTGGGTGTCAGGCACGGTGAGGAGCGAGTGAAGATCAGCCCCAGCCTTATTAATAGCGGCATCAAAGTCCTTCGCACGATGGCTCATCTCCATGATATGCTCATGCCAGAGCCACGGTAGTCGACGAGCTTCGCCTACGCCTTCTGGATGACATAGCGCTCGGGTGGCTGGGCCGGCGACGAAGTTGTAGAATCGCGGTCGGCGGAGAGGAAGACAGTGCGGCTGCGCGGGCGTGAACCGCCAACCTCACGCGGAGGGTGCCGTCGTGGGATATTGTGCCGCCGCACCGGCGGTGAAGGACATGCTGGCCAACGAGCGGCGAGTTGGGCTGAAAGTGTGCCTGTTTGTGGGCCAACCAGGCTTCTCATATGCTATACCCGCTCTCTACCGTCAGATGTTGAATGAACGGAGATGCAATGTTGGACGTCCCTCTAACGTAGATTCCTCTACGTTAGAGGAGCACGTTCCGGAGGAGGGGGGCGAGGAGAGTTGGGAGGCTGGTGCTAGCTACGCAGACAAATAGGAGGTGCTTGTAGAAAAAGAAGAGAAGAATCCACTTCTCTTCGTCGTCCCACTTCCTCCAAAGCCAGCTGTTATTTATTTGGGTGGTGTGTGTCAGGAGGCGGGTAGACTCCCACCGAATTCGAAAATTTGGAAAAAAAATCTTGGAAATGACTCCTGCCAAATTCGAAAATTTGGAAAATTTTCGAAAGTTTAATTTGGTTCCTTTGCTGCTGTAGCGTGTGACGAACGAGTTTTCCTTTTGTAGCTGTACTTTATCTGCACATGTTAAGACTTAAGAAGCCCATTTCAGATTTTTGGCATTGAGCAGACTGACATGATCAGCGCTAGCGGGCGCATTTTACTTTGGAGAAAGCTCCGAACCGATGCCCAGAAACTTTCTTATTAAAGCTTTGCAACATGGTTTAGAGCAAGTTTAATAGTATATAGCCAACTACTAGCTTCAATTCATTTATAGTCAATCTAATAGCTTATTTATACAATAGTTACATACTATACTATTAATACCTGGTCCCACATGCCATACACACGCTGCGTCTTGGAGTCCGTGCTACAGCTGACTACAAATATGTAGCCCGCTGCCCTTCTCTCTCATCATTTATCTCCTTAAAATATATTTACAGCTGGCTTATAGCCTGCTATTGTACCTGCTCTTATATGAAGGCACTTAGAGCAGGTATAATAGCAGGTTATTAGCCAGCTGCAAACATATTTTAATGAGATAAACGATGGGAGAGAAGAGCAGCGAGCTACAGATCTGTAGCCACTGCAGCACGAACTCCAAGACACACAGTGTGTATGATAGGTGGGACCATATATTAATAGTATAGTAAGTAACTATTGTATAAATTAGCTATTAGATTGGTTATAGATGAATTGGAGCTAGTAGTGGGCTGTACTATTAGACTTGCTCTTAGGGTGTGTTTAGTTCACACTAAAATTAAAAGTTTGGATGAAATTGAAATGATGTGATGAAAAAGTTGGAAGTTTATGTGTGTGTAAAAGTTTTGATGTGATGAAAAAGTTAAAAGTTTTAAGGAATATTTTGGAACTAAACACGGCGTTAACTAATATTTGCAGCACCAGCACGATTTGAAGATTACGGTCCAACTCCCCCCCCCCCCCACCACACCCAAATTAGGATTGGGGCGTAACAGGTTGCGGATATGCTATATAAGATACGTATGCAAAAAAAACTAGTAAACATCATGTAAGGCACAGTTCCATTTGCTGCTTCGTTTTAGTTCAAAATTCTAAGAACACATAATGTCACCGTAGCAGAAATAACCATGTACAAAAGCATAGTATCGCAAAATTCAGCCGGAGACTATCAGCCCCCGAGTTGATAAGCACATCAGCCTAATTTGATCCTCTCACACTTCCCTAATAGCAAGTTTAATAGTATAGCTCACTACTAGCTCCAATTAATCTATAGCCAATCTAATAGCCAATTTATACAATAGTTACTTACTATACTATTAATATATGGTCTCACCTGTCATATACACATTGCGTCTATAAATTCATGCTGCAGCTGGCCACAGATCTGTAGCTTACTGCTCTTCTCTCTCATCTTTTACCTTATTAAAATATGTTTATATCTGGTTAATAGTCTGCTATTGCACCTGCTCTACTAGTACTACTCTATTTCTACTCCCTCCGTTCCATAATATAAGTGATTTTGAGTTTTTTCTCGCACTGTTTAACCACTCGTCTTATTTAAAAAAATTTAGAATTATTATTTTTTTTGACTTACTTTATTATTCAAAGTACTTTAAACACAACTTTTCGTTTTTTATGTTTGCACGAATTTTTTAAATAAGATGAGTGATCTGCTAGTCAAAAATACCTTATTATATTATGAGAGTATAAAATTAGATACTACGAGGGAAAAAAATTATTGCACGCTAATTCATGGCCCGATTTGATGCTGCGGCATGTGCAGTCGCCGCTGGAAAAACACATGCTTGCATGCAACGTTACACGTAGCACACTGGACACCGGAGTTTGGCTGTCAGCTGCTGTCCTCCCAGCTAAATATAAATGTTTAGGAAGTACTACATGGTATCATTCCCATCTAGAATTAACATGACCAACTTGGAAGTAATGATTTATTCTGAACGGTTATTTTTAAAAGAGGGCATCTATCTACACCTGAATGCACCTAAACAATTCTCGTAAACCAAATATCACGGCTAATTATCCCAAAATTAATTCAAAACGAGTCAAACTCAAATGGGTGTTATTAATAAGGGCCTATTCATTTTGATGATATTTTCAACCTTACCAAATTTTGATAAAGTTACCAAAAAAGTGGCTATATTTAGTTTGCTACTAAATTTTGGTAACTTATATAATAAAATCATGCCAAAATTACCAAAATTTTGACAACTATGCCAAAATTTTGACAATATTAAAATTTAGTAAGGTATTTTTTTAGCATAAAAGTGAACAGGCACTATACTAACCCCAGCCGCCGCCACGTGCCGCATTGATGGTCCCGGCAACCATCCAGCGCGTAACCGATTCCCTGTACATTCGGCCGCGATAACTATCTCTTTCTCCCCTATAATTAATCTCGCCGGAGTCCTCGCCGCGAACCCACCACCACTGCAATCTCGCCCCGCCGCACGCACTCCACTAGCTACCATCTTGAATTCTTGATTGCTCGGCCGGCACAGCTATGTCGCGCGCCGTAGTTGTGGTGGTGGTGGTGGCCGTGCTGGCGCTGGCGTGCGGCGCGGCGTCGCAGTCGCCGGCGCCGGCGCCGGCGGCGGGGCCGGCGTCGGACTGCGGGTCGTCGATCACGGCGCTGGCGGGGTGCCTGACGTACATCACGCCGGGGAGCCCCGAGGCGAGGCCGGCCAAGGACTGCTGCGCCGGCGTGAAGAGCGCGCTGGGCAGCCCGGCCGCCGTCGCCTGCCTCTGCGGCGCGCTCGGCCAGGACTTCGGCATCAAGATCAACTACACCCGCGCCGCCGCCCTCCCCGCCGCCTGCGGCGGCGACTCCTCCGCCCTGAGCAAGTGCAACAGTCAGTACAACCAACTCACTCCTCCGATTTGTTTCTTCATCTCTGTTTTTTTTTTTCAATTTTTTCTTCGTTTTATTCTTCTGTCTTTTTGGGTGACTATGGTTAGTAAAACTTTACATTTCCCTTTATATAGTACTCCGTAGTACTTGGTTATAGATCAATTTATCGATTTGTTTCTTCATCTCTGTTTATTTTTCGTTTTACTCTTCTCTGTCTTTTTGGGTGACTATGGTTAGTAAAACTTTACATTTCCCTTTAGTACTTGGTTATAGATCAATTTATCGATTTGTTTCTTCAATTATTTTTTCGTTTTATTCTTCTGTGTCTTTTTGGGTGACTATGGTTAGTAAAACTTTGCATTTCCCTTTATATAGTAGTACTTGGTTATAGATCGATTTATAGTTTGTATATGTATATAATTTGATCTCTTTTTTTTTTCTTGGCAGAGAAATTTCCCGGTGCCTCTCCTACTGGAGGTAAAGCAAAATCCTGAATCCCTGTCTGATTGTTCTTGTCGATCTGATTTCAATTTTGATGTAAATGAATCAAATAAAGGATTTCCTGCCTAATTATCCTCAGTTTTGCTCCCTATAACTGAAATTTGTCCCAGAGAATGGTCATTTTTATTTAAAAATGAAAAAAGTAAAACAAGATAAAAAACAAAAGAAACTTTAAATTCTAAATCATCAGCAGAGTAGATGGCTGGTCCTTCCTGATGACTTCCTCTCCTCATTAGTCACTACTCGCTACTAGTACTACTAGTAGATCTGATCATCTTAGTAGAATTTTCCCATTATTATGTTCTCTATGCAAGTGGTGTACCTGCTACCTGGCGTTGTGGTTGTTGTGGTGCCTGGCATAGTTGGCAGCCAAATTTTGTAATCCATCATGCACACTAAAAAAGAACTGAACAAACTTTCTGTGGGGTAACCAACTCACCATCTACTGCACATTGATGAGGATTCATTATCTAAAGTTATCTGAAAGTTCTGACTTCTGAAATCAATGTGAGGTCTGAAAGTGAAAGCTCTCCGAAGACCTCATGACTGATAAGAAGATATTTTGCGTTGATAAACATTTTCTGACTTCTTCTACTAATTACAAACAAAAAATTTGGATCCTGGAGTTCTGAACCCAATGAAATATTCTGCCCTGCTGACATGTATTCACCAATTCATCTTTTAGAAATTATAATTGCTTGGATATGTGGTATCTGGCCATCTCACAATTCTGCATCAATGTTGCAGCACCCGCACCATCTTCTTCCGGTTCTGGGTCAGGATCAACACCGGCCACCGGCACGCCATCTTCACCGAAGTCGGCGGCGGCCCAATCTCCGGTCTCGGCGATGCTCATTGTAGCCACGGTTGCTGCACCTCTGCTTTCTTACTATTACCTCTGAAGATTTTTACCACATATGATCTAGTTTCTGAAACGCTGTGATTTGTATGCGCATTGCGCTGTGATTTATCAGTGACTCTTTTAGGGAGAGATCTGCTAATGTTGACTTCTATAGCCGTGCCCGTGGTGCCATTTCTCACTGTTTCCTGGATTGCTATTAGTTTGTACAATATTGGGATGGTTCATTCAGAATAAAGTAGAAAAATGAAGCATGCAGGCTGTTGTTATTCTGATTTCTGAATGATGCAGGAAAGCATATCTGATCTTTTTGTTAGAATTACAACAGAAGCAGATGCTAATCGTAAACTTTTATGTTCTGCAAGCTAAACACATCCTTCATCTTTATGAAATTCAAACAGATATTTCAGGCCTGGGAATACTTCCAGGCACCCAAGTGACTTAAGTTTGCCATAGGCTGAGATTTTAAATGTACATGTCGACTAAAAGTGTGCAATACGCTGTCCCCAATGTCAGAAACAGTGCCAATTCAAATAGATTTGCGATTGTGTAGCCGTGTGATCCCCTGTCCCCAAATTCAGAATTAGTGCCAATTCAAACCGGTTAACGATTGTGCAGCAATTAACAGGGAACAGAAACACAAAACAGAAGAAAGCAACAGGTGAATCAACAGTCATAATTTCTCAAAGCAACAGGAGCCAAGTATTGGCTAGTTGCTAACTCATTTGAATCAGCACAGAAGAATTCAGAACATCTACAGAAACAGAAGAGTTCAGAAGAAATTTTGTAAATCAAACAACAAAGCAGGATACCATCTGAGTAATCCGGAAGAAAGCATGAGCAGAACACATGCAGGGAATTGGGTTTAATTTAACCAAACAACTCAGAACATGTTGGGACATACATCTCTGAAACGAAATGCTTCGAATGCAGAAGAATTCAGGCACATACAGGGAGTTGGGCAATTAATCAACCAAAGGCAGTATACTAGGAAAAGTTGCAACGAATGCGGCATTCAAATAAATTTGCACTAATGTTTTCCCTTCTCTATTCAAATCACACCAGAATCCAAGCAAATTGCAACCCCAAACTTTCACATTTGCACCCGATACAAATTCATGAACAGGAAAACATCGAGCACTAAAATGTTGCAAAACCTGCAACCAAATCTCTTGGACTGGAATCCTACCATGCGTCCATGCCAATTAACCAAACGACCAAGAACATACTGCTAGATCTGTACATGCATCACTGAAACGAAAAATGCTTCGGATCCGGAAACACAGAACATAGGGGGGATCAACCCAAATGCATATCTGAAACCATTCTGAACCAAATGCTTCAGATGCAACGCAGAACATGCATACTAGGGGATCAATCCAAATGGTGAAATTCATTTCTGAAACAAAATGCTTCAGATGCAGAAGAATGCAACACAGAACATACTAGGGATTCCATATGCATATCTGAAACGAAACGCTTCAGATGCAGAAGAAAATTCAGGCACATGCATGGATCAGTTCGAACCGATCAGTCCATTCATCTTTGAAACGAAAGCAGCATTCAGATAAAATCGCAACGATGTTTTTTTCCCATTCTCAATTCAATCCGAACCACAATCCAAGCAAGCAACACCAAACTTGCACCCAATGCAAACTCACGAGCAGGAAACGCATTCCCCGATCGATCGAGCACTGACCACTGAGAAATGTTGCATATCTGCAACCGAATCTCCTGGATTGGAATCCCACCATCGAACCAGATGCCAACGAGTAGACAGCTAGAGATAGAGCAAACATTTAACAAGAAGACTAACTGCATGAAAGCCAAGCAGACACAACAAACAATTTTGGGGCAAAATATTCACTTCATGCAAGCGATCCAACAGTTCAAAGCATGCATCGACACAGCCGACTCTGTTCTTCTTGGACAAAATGCACGAAACTCCCTGATTTGATCTGAATCTACCAGAGACACAACACACACAGCTAGGCCTCTACGAGAGATCAGCAATCATGACGACGAGGACACAGTACGGCTTACGGGATGCCGTCGAAGGCCCAGGCGTTCTCCTCGCGGATCTCCTTCTTCTCCGCCTCGGTGAGGTCGTCCTCGATGTCGAACGCCTCGCGGATCTTCTCGGCGGTGGCGCTCCCGATCGTGTCGGCGACGCGCTGGCAGGTGATGTCGAGGAGCCCCTGGATGTTGAGGTAGTTGGCGGCCATGATGACGTCGATGAGGGACGCCTTGTCCTTGTCCAGCTCGCCGACGAAGTCCGCGTCAAACCTCCCCAGCGCCGCCCTCTCCTCGTCGGTGCCGGAGTTCGCCCTGCCGTGCTCGTCGCAGTACGGGATCACCTTCGCGAGGGTCTTGGAGTCGACGTTGGGGAGCGGGATGACATCGGCGCAGCCGTCGTCGATCAAGTTCGCGATGGCCCTGGATTGCCTCGCCGACGCCTCCGTCACCTCGACCAGCTTCTCGTCGTTGCTCTTCAGGGTGATCATCCTGCTGCTGCCGCTCTCCTTCTCCTCCTCCTCCTCCGCCGCGGCCGCCGCCGCGGCCGCCATCGCTCGCTCTCGCGCTCACTGATCAACTTGGCTCTCTTCTCTCACTGACTACCTAGCGCTCGCCGTGGGTGAGGTGGGACGAGCCGGATTGATCGGGTCGGAGGCCGATGGGGGGCGCCAATATATAGCCGCCGGATTACGGGTTCGGGTCGGGGTTTAATTTTTCAGTTTCACCGATTCAGGAGGTCACGGAATTTGAAAGTCCGAAATTTCCAAAATTTTAAACAAATGTTGATCAAATTTAATCAAAATATTACCAAATTTATAAAAACAATAGAAAATAAAAATAAAAATTTCGACCGAAACAATACTGTATCGGGTCCGAAATGAAATTTCTTGTAGCGGAGGCGTTGCTCGGTGCCTCGCTTTCGTGTCCGCTACGTTTACTCTCCTGCAAGCCGAGCTGGCTGAGCATAATGATGGGCCGGTTATGGTCTATAGGCCGAGAAATTTGTACTGGATTCGGCCCATTTATGAGGACCATGTTACCGTACAGTACATATGCTCCCATTTTCTTTTCTTTTTTCCCACCCTTGGGAAGAGTATCTGTATGGTTGTTGAATCTCCTCAGGTTGATATGTTTTGTATTTTTCTCATGATGAAAATTCCTACTGCATATTATGTATTTTTTCTCTTCGGTGATCGTTGGTGATATATCGCCATTATTTAAGATTTAAATCGAAGAGAAAGAACTCCGGGCATATTGATGAACTGTAGTAATTGATGCTAGTAATAACAACCAAGTGGTTCATAGTTATGAGAATTATTTATCGTATTAATTTCCTTTTAATATTACGTTGATGGATAAAGCTAACACTGAAACATCACTACAGTAACAAAGGAAATATGTCACGCCATTTTTCCTGTTACTTGACCTGCAAATTTACTGGAGTATTACTATTATTTCACACATGTTGTTTGGCTCCATCAACAACAACTGGACAAGAGCCAATTACTGTGACCAGTGACCCCCATATCACTCGTCTTTGATCTCTAGAAAGGGAGATACCAAGTTACCAACTATTCTTTCTGTAAAACAAATGAACTTTTCAGTTATCTGTATAAAGTGTGTGCGAAGAAACTTTTTTTTGCCGGGACGGCCAAGGAGGCGGCCGACCTAAATTTATTAAGACTGAAAGAAAGATGTTACAATTTTACAAGATCGGCATTAAACTGTCGAGGGAGAGAACAGGGGAGAACAGAGAGAAGGAGAACAAAACGACAACACAGGACCGCCTTGCAGCGGGGGTCTTAGCCAACTTCTCTAAAAATAACAGAACTTAATTACTTTCTTTCCTGGAATATTATCGTTTTCTATTGGCATCTGAACTTAATCATTTTGTTGATAGTTGCACAAAAGAGTTTTTAATAGTTATTCCCCTTTTGAAATGAATAAATCTTACAAGATTTTCATGGTAACTGTAGTAATTCATACGAAAACCATACAGAACGCGTGCATTCCAAAGGAGCCCGTAAACACAACACTAGCATTTACAAAAATGTGCACTAGTTGAGCAAAACAACTAGTACGTGGAATACTGCTCAAGTAGCTAGATGGGCAGATGGCTACATGATGCGGAAGAAAGTAGTAAGTTCATACATCTCTGAATTGTCTTAATTTAACCAAACAACTCACGACACACTTAAGTAGTAAGTCCATACATCTCTGAAGTCTGAAACGAAATGCTTCAGATGCTGAAGAATGCAACATACTGTGTATCAGTCTCAAACGAAATGCTTCATATACACAAGAATTCAATTCAGACAAATTTTGCAGGGAGTTTTATCAGCAAACAGCAAACTGAATACTAAGGCATCAGTTCTAATGGTTCAGTCCATGCATCTCTGAGACAAAATGCAGCGGTGAGATAAAGTTGAAACGAGGATTTCTCTTCTCTATTCAATTCATAGCAGAAATCACTGTCTAATTATCAGAAGCTTGCCCCCTATTAGTCTCAGATAGTAAGAATCACGTGTTTCAACTGAAATTGAAATTGTGCAAATCCTCTGATCCCAAGTTCAGAAATAATGCCAATTCAAACAGATTTACGATTGTGCAGGAATTTAACATGGAACTCAGAAACACAGAGCAGGAGAAAGCAACAGGTGCAACGAACAGCCCATAATTTCTCAAAGCAACACGAACTCATTTGGATCAGCACTGAGGAATTCAGACACGTACAGAAATTTTATAAAGCAAACACAGCGGGATATCAACTGAATGATCTGTAAGAAAGCAGAACATGTTCATGGAATTGGGTTTTAATTGAACCAAACAACTCACGGAATTAGGTTTAATTTAACCAAACAACTCAGAAGTCAGAACACACTGGGACATCAGTTCATATATCTGTGAAGCGAAATGCTTCAGATTCTGAAGAACACACAACGCAGAACATTCTGGAGGGTCAGTCCACATGCATATATGAAATGAAATGCTTCAGATCCATAAGAATTCAGGCACATGCATGGAGTTGCGCAAATAATCAACCAAACAACAGAACAGCATACGGGGTCACTACTAACTGGTCAGTCCATGAATATCTGAAACGAAATTGAGCATTCAGATAAAGTTGCAGCGATTTTTTGTTACGAACAGAGATCGGTAGAAAGGAAGAACAGAGTGAAACAGATGGCGTGACATTTTCCCCCTTCTCTATTCAACTCACACAAGAATCCAAGCAAAAAAGCGACCCCCAAACTTGCACCCGATACAAACTCATGAACAGGAACACATCCCCGATCGATCGAGCTCCGAAATGTTGCAAAACTGAAACCGAATCCCACCAATGAACCACACGCCAACGAGTAGACAGAGTAGTTTTTAGAGGCAGAGCAGAGCAGACATCTCATCAGAAGAATAACCGCATGAAACCAAAGCAGACACAGCAAAAGTATTTGGAGCAAAATATTTCACTTCATGCAAGCGATCCAGCAGTTGCAAAGCATTCAACGACACAGCCGACTCAGTTCTACACTTCTACTTGGACAGGATGCACGAACTCAAAGGTAAGCTGATCAGATCTGAATCCACCAGAGACACAACACACAACTACGAGAACAATTACGCGGCAGGTGCGTGCTCCTCAGAAGGCCCAGGCATCCTCCTCCTTGATCTCCTCCTGGTCCTCCTCGGTGAGGTCGTACGCGATGTTGAAGGCCGTGCGGATCTCCTCGGGGGTCTTGCCCTTGATGGTGTCGGCGATGCACTGGGTGGTGAGGTCGAGGAGTCCTTGGGCGTGGAGGTAGTTGGCGGCCATGGTGACGTGGAAGAGGAAGGCCTTGTCACCGTCCAGCTCGCCGATGAAGTCCTTGTCAAACTTGTCGAGCGCCGCTTTCTCGTCGTCGGTGTCGGCCTTGTTGTTGGCGTGCTCGTCGAAGTACTCGATCACCTTCTCGAGGGTCTTAGAGTCGACGTTGGGGAGCGGGACGGCTTCCCTGGTGCAGTCGTCGTCGATCATGTGCCCGATGGTCGTGGACTGCCTCGCCGACACCTCCGTCACAACGAACGCCTTGCCCTCGTTGCTCTTCAGGGTGATCATCCTGCTGCCGCTCTCCTTCTCCTCCGCCTTCTCCGCATCCGCCGCCACCGCCTCCGGCACCACCGCGTCCTCTCCCTCCATCTCCACCACCGCCGCCGCAACCGGCTCCTCCCCCCTTCCCCTCCGCCGCCGCCGCGGCCGCCGCCGCCTCTCCGCTCCCCTTCGCCATCACTCGCTCTCGCTCGCAAAACCCCAACTCTCCTTTCGCTCGCGGTGAAGCAGTGGCACTGGCACGAGACGAGACGAGACGAGACGGATTGATAGGTGAGTGGTCCGAGCCAAATGGGGGGGCGCCTTTTTATAGCCCGGAGGAGGCGGAGACGGAGGCGTGCTCGCTTTCGCTTTCGCGGCCGCTACGTTTCCTCCTCTCCAAGCCTAGCTGGCTCGCCAGCTGCACGAGAACCTTCTGTGTTTGCAGGCTGTGTTGGGCCAGAAGGTTGTGGTCCATGGGCAGAGAATTTGTATTGGACTCGGCCCATGTTGAGAACCATGCTATCGTACTGTACGTGCTCCCATATTCCTTTATTTTTCGGCTGGGAAAAGAATTCGTACGTTAAATCTCCTCAGGTTTAGTATCGATGAACGACAGTAATTGGTGCTAGTTATGAGAAATTTCACCATCTTAGGTTGCGTTGTGAGGTGAAGGTTGGAAACTTCACATCCCCACACGCAAAATGAAGCAATACATTAACACATAATTAATTAAACATTAGCTAAAACAAACTTAAAAAATAAAATAGTATGAATATTTTTAAGTAATTTTCATATAGTTTCCTTTAAAAAAGTGTACCATTTAACCGATTGGGAAGCGTGTGTGCAGAAAATAAGGGATATAAATTGGGAGCAGGTGATAAAGAACACAGCCTGATTGCCTCCTAAGAACAGGTGGATGGGTAAAACTAACACTGAAAATTCACCTACAACAACCAAGAAATATGCCTAATTAAGGATATTTTAGCAAATACTACGTCACGCCTGACCTACAAACTGCAACATATATAGAGTATCGCACGTTCGGCGAACTTACTGAAGTACTATTATATTGTATCTCATTCAGCAAAATTTACTGAGTCTATAACCAGTGACCCCACAACGCTCATCTTTGATCTCTCTAATAGGGCCATGTTTAGATTCCAACTTTTTTCTTCAAACTTATAACTTTTTCGTCACATTGAACTTTCCTACCCACAAAAATTTCTAACTTTTCCGTCACATCGTTCCAATTTGGCGTGGAACTAAACACAACCTAGAAAGGGAGACCAACTATGCTTGTTTGTAAAACAACTTATGAACTTTTAAGTTAGATGTAGAGTGTGTGCGAAGAAAATAAGGCTGTATTCGTTGGAGGGGGTTGGGAACCCATCTCCTGAGCACGAAAAACCAAGTGATCTATTAGCGCGTGATTTATTAAGTATTAGCTATTTTTTTTCAAAAATGGATCAATATGATTTTTTAAGCAACTTTCGTATATAGACTTTTGCAAAAAACACACCGTTTAGTAGTTTGAAAAGCGTGCGCGCAGAAAACGAGATGGGAGAGTTGAGAACAACTCCAAACAAACACAGCCTAAATTGAGATCTTGGGACGAAGGATTCGTGGGTTCGCTGTCGGCGCCGATTCAACGGTGGGGGAGAGCAAGTAGTCGTAGGGGTGCTCGAGCTTGAGCTCCCAAGCTGCCCCAAGCCTTGTTGGAACCTTCCCCAGGCTTGGAGTACCTCATCAAGCTCGAGCTCCGCACGTCCCCAAGCTTTCTCCGTCTAAGCTTAGCCTCACCGTTCTTACTGTCGTCCTCCACTGTGACAGGAGAGAGGAGGGATTTTGCCTTTTATCTTGCAATGAGTTCACTAGGACACTATCGGCCACCACCCCTGTGCACGCCGCCCGCAGCATGCCTCCCGGGCTAGTGAGGATAGTGAAGAGCAAAGGGAGGATGACTGTGTGAGAGATAAGGAAAGAGTTTGCTGCTGACATGTGGGGCCCACATGATACGATAGTTAAGTAGTCTGCGTGTGAGTAAATCAGGGTACTATAGCAGTGAGCTACGACGCAGGGCAATCATCTCTCCCCAATGCTATTTATTTTGGCGATCAATCCCTTTCTATAACTCCTAAAGTTTACGCAGCTGACTGGTGATATATACACTATATTTCAGCAAATTATCATGCTTTTAAGATTTCTACGAGCAAATTAAAGAAGTTACGGTGTCTATCGGCAAAGACTAAAACTAGAGATGTTTTGTATTTGTGTTGCTAGAATGATTGCCTCCCCTCCCTTTACAATACAAGTGACATGCATATATACCGTGAAAAAAAAAAAGATACACCGAAGAATACGACGACGGCCGACTCGGTGGCAGGAAGCGGTGGGTCCTCCTGAAACGCGAGTGATCGCGGGACGGACGCATGCGCGATCAGAAACGGCAAAACTGAAAAAGCCCCACGCACATGATCGAGACCATGTGACCCACGATCATGTCCATACCACTTCACACACGTTTTTTTATATATGTATAGAAATACTGTATATAAAAAATTTGAATTCAAATTCAAATTAAATCGGGTATGTAAACTTTTAATTATAAACTTCGGATCTATAAACTTTAGGTGTATAAACTTTAGATGTATGAAAATACTATATATAGAAAATATTTGAATTCAAATTCAAATTTGAATCAGATATAATTTAAATTCAAATTTGAAACGGGGTATATAAACTTTTGACTTATAAACTTTAGATGTATAGAAATACTATATATAAAAAAATATTTGAATTCAAATTCAAATTTTAATCGGATATATAAATTTTTGGTCTCTAAACTTTAGATGTGTAACTTGAGGTGTATAAACTTTAGACGTATAAATTTACTAAAATAGGAAAGTAATGTGGTGCTAAAAAAGGAAACTAGGGGGCGATCGCTCGCCATTAGAGTTTCCGGGAATAGGTACGACGCTAACGTGATTATGTACTGTAGCATGTGATTGCGCAGGATCGATATATCGAAACTCCCAGCGTGGCACGCAACAGGAACATATGTACCGCATTTTACCCGCCGGGCGAACGAATTGATATGGTTTCGATCGATCGGCGGGCGCGTCGGTCGGTCGACTCTCCCCAACGCTGCCACGGGCGGGCGGATGGGCCGGAGGCCTGATCGACGGCTTGGGTGGGGTTACAACGTGCAACGTGCAAGTGCAACGCATCGCACGCAGCATGCATAGACGTAAATATACCGTTTTATGCATGACACTAAAAAATTTATCAAAAAATTTGTCAAGATAGATCAATCTATTATATATATTTTCACAAACATGTGAGTTAAAATTCGAAATTTGTCTTCCTCCGTAGTCAAGTTTTTTTTAATTTCTTTTTAAGAGCTGGGAGGCATCTTCCTCCCTAGTCGAGTTATTTCCTTGATCAAGTATCCCCTAGTTAGTTTCGTTGTAGCTTTAGGACCTTCTTTAGTTAATTTTGTCTAGATATATGTCAAGTTTGTTACATTTCGTTGGTCCTTTCTCTAAATCATGGGCTAGCTAATTATTTGCCGGTACTAGTTTTATTTTAATATTTTTTGGGAAAAGTTTAATTTCTTTGTACATCCTGATCACCGTTGCAAATTAACTTACAAACTTTCTGAGTTGCTTGATTGCTTCGTCTTGGCCTGCCCTTGATGTATTTTGGATGGAATTTTTCAGTGCTGATCTTTTCAATTATGAAATTAACTTTGAGTGTTGTGTTGTTTCCCCTAAGATCTGCGTGTTTCCAGGTACATACTTTCATAAAGGATATGCCTCGACGGGGGAATCCGGATGCAGATTTGGTATTGAGAGTTGTTTGGGAGATTGGATATCTCTGTGCCAGCCACCGTCTTTCTCACCACAAGACACACTCATTCTGTGGTCTATTACTAGGCGCCATATATCTTACATGGAACACTATATACCTAGTCCTAGACAAGATTGACTCGCCCAATGCACAGCATTGGGGTAGACAAAGATTGTAAGATATACTACCTCCGTTCCAAAATAAGTGCAGCCGTGGATATCCGTATCCAACGTTTGACCGTCCATCTTATTTGAAAAATTTATGAAAAATTTACAAATATTTAGTCACACATAAAGTATTATTCATGTTTTATCATCTAATAGCAATAAAAATACTAATCATAAAAAAATTCAAATAAGACGAACGGTCAAACGTTGAACGTGAATAGTGTAAAACTGCACTTATTTTGGGACGGAGGGAGTATTATGGAGTTGATATGTTATAACCTTGATATATGATCATCATATTCTAGTCTAGGATATTATTTGTTTTTACTAGAAACTCGAAACTTGCTCAATTTATATACCTTGCTATATGAATAATAAATGAGGTTACAACTCGATTGATTACAATTAATATAAATAATCCTGGACCAGTTACATCTGTAATTGCCTCATTTTGAGGGCATGCATCAGAACATCTATGTCAAGTGGTATGACCTCACATTGTGTAGCGCATATGTTTGGGAGCTGGTTTGATGGAATTCATCATAATTTGAAATTACATGTTCTGTTAGGAGCAGTTGCTACTTGTTGGTCGCTTTGGCTATGCAGGAATAATGTGGTTTTTGATAAAAAAAAATCATATCTTCACCTTTGCAGGTTATATATTCTCTTATCCATTGGCTTTGTACATGGGCTATCCTACAGAAGCCTGGTTCACGGGATATGGTAGTTGCGGCATGTCAACATTTGGAGAAGGTGGTCAAGGAGTTTTTTACCCAGAGATATAGGTGACAATCTAGTCTTAGAATTGGTGGTCCTTCGTTAGATTGATGGTTCTCAATACTCCATGTCATTCTTTTTTCCTTTCGAGTGTGGTTTTGTTTGTTCGGCTGTGTGCATCTTAGTTATGCATAGGCCGGAAGTGTTCTCAGGATAATTGGATCACCTTGATGTAATTGACTGAGTTCAATAAAAGCTTCCATTATCTAAAAAAAGTGGTATGACCTCACTCCGAGTTCAACAACAAATATAACTGGTATGTGCTAGAGTTGTTTCTTCTTCCTTCAGAGCAGCTCAGAGGTTGCTGGACATGCCGATATTGGAGCTTTTGTGGACTAGTCCCGTCCCCTTCCTTGGCTCACGGCGCAACATTGGAGCTTTTGTGGTTACTGCATAGTGCGTGAATTTTTTTAAAAAAAGCATCTGAACTTTTAAATTAGGTTACATAGTATGTGAATTTTCTTTCTAGAAATTTTGTTGTTTTCAATTGGCAACTGAACTTAATTTATTTGTTGATAGTTCCCTAAAAGAGCTCTGAAAAGTTAGCCCCTTCTGAAATAAAGAAACCTTACAGGACCTTTATGGTAACTGAAGTAATTTGTTCATACGAAAACTATATATAAAATTCATGTACTCAAGCCTGTAAACACAGTCCCTGCAAGTTACAAGCATGATTCTTCATATAAGCCCATTCATCTCTGAAACTGAATGCTACAGATGCAGAAGAATGCAACAAATTGTGACATACTAGGGTAATAATCCACATCCATATCTGAAACGAATTGTTTCATATCCAGAAGAATTCAGATACATGCAGGGAGTTGGGTCAATCAACCAAACAGACAGACATACTGAAGGATCAGTTTGTAACATCTCTGAAACTTTATCTGATCAGGTTGCAAACATGAAACATGCAGGGAGTTGGATCAGTTTGCAACACAGAAGGATCAGTTACTGTTGAGAACTGAACCAAAAACTGATCAGTTGGTCATTGTTACTAATCAGTACATACATATATGAAATGAAATGCAGCATTCAGATAAATTTGCAAAACGCTTTCCATTCTCTGTTCAGTTCACACCAGAAATTCAGGCAAAACGCAACCCATACAAATTCATGAACAAGAAAACATCCCCGGTAAGTTTGAGCACTGAGAGATATCGCTAATCTGCAACCAAACTCTTGGGTTGGATGCCAACAAGTAGACCGAGTAGTCTAACTGCATGAAAACCGAGCGACAGCAAACAATTTGGGGCAAAAAATTACAGTTCGAACAGGACCAATCCATGCATCACTAAAACGAAATGCAGCATTCAGATAAAATTGCAACGATGTGTTTCTCCCTCCTGAATTCAATTCGCACTTGAGTTCAAGCAAAACGCAACACAAACTTGCACCTGATAAAAATTTGTGAGCAGGAAAACATCCCTGAGGACTGAGAACTGTTGCATTGCAAATCTGAAACCAAATCTGTTGGTTTGGAATCCCAAGCATCACGAGTAGACAGAGTTAGAGACAGAGCAAGCATTTAACAAGAAGACTAACTGCATGAACGCCAAGCGGACACAGCAAAACAATTTCGGGGCAAAATATTCACTTCATGCAAGCGATCCAGCAGTTGCAAAAGCATTCAACGACACAGCCGACTCAGTTCTACACTTCTACTTGGACACAGGATGCACGAACTCAAAGGCAGTAAGCTTGATTGGATCTGAATCCACCAGAGACACAACGCGCAACTACGAGAGAACAATCGTTACGACGAGGACACTACGGCTTACGGGGGCAGCTAGCTGGTGCGTCATGCGTGAGTATCCTCCTCCTTGATCTCCTTCTCGTCCTGCGCGGTGAGGTCGTACTCGATGCCGAAGGCCGTGCGGATCTCCTCGGGGGTCTTGCCCTTGATGGTGTCGGCGACGCACTGGGTGGTGAGGGCGAGGAGCCCTTGGATGTGGAGGTAGTTGGCGGCCATGGTGACGTCGTAGAGGAAGGCCTTGTCGGCGTCCAGCTCGGCGATGAAGTCCCTGTCGAACTTGGCGAGCGCCGCTCTCTCGTCGACGGTGTGGGGCTCCTTGTTGCCGTGCTCGTCGCAGTACTGGATCACCCTCGCGAGGGTCTTGGAGTCGACGTTGGGGAGCGGGAAGCCCTTGTCGACGCAGCCGCCGTCGTCGACCATGCTCCTGATGGTCGCGGACTGCCTCGCCGACGCCTCCGTCACAACGAATGCCTTGCCCTCGTTGCTCGTCAGGGTGATCATCCTGCTGCCGCTCTCCTTCTCCTCCGCATCCGCCGCCGCCGCCGCCGCTGCTCCGCTCCCCGTCGCCATCGCTCGATCTCGCTCGCAAAACCCCAACTCTCCCCTTTCGCTCGCGGTGAAGCAGTGGAACGAGACGAGACGGATTGATCGGTGAGTGGTCCAAGCCGAATGGGGTTATGGGGGGGCGCCTTTTTATAGCGCGGAGGAGGCGGAGAGTCGGAGACGGAGGCGTGTTGGCTTTCGCTTTCGCGGCCGCTACGTTTCCTCCTCTCCAAGCCTAGCTGGCTCGCCAGCTGGACGAGAGAGCCTTCTGTGTTTGAAGGCTGTGTTGGGCCAGAAGGTTGTGGACTTCTGCTCAATGGGCTGAGAATTTGCATTGGATTCAGCCCATATTTGATAACCATGCTCCTATATTCTTTTTTTTATGCTGGGGAAAGAACGTGTATGTTAAATCTCTTCAGGTTTGGTGCTAGTTAGGAGAAATTTTACCATCTTAACTTTTCCTCCTAAGAAAAGGTGGTGGGTAAAACTAACACTGAAAATTCACTATAGAAACCAAGAAATGTGCCTAATTAAGGATATTTTAGAAAATATTATGCCACGCCATTTTCCGGTTACCTGACCTGCAAATTGCAGGACAGAGTTTCGCACATTCGGCAAACTTACTGGAGTATTATTACTGTATTTCATTCGGCAAAACTTACTGTGACTAGTGACCACACCACATCACTCATCTTTGATCTCTCTAGTAGAAAGTGAGAGACCAACTATATTTGTTTGTAAAACAACTTGTGAACTTTTAAGTTAGCTGTAGAGAGCGCGTGCGAAGAAACTATATTGAGCTACTCCCCAATTAATTTTCTTTCTAGGATTAAATTGACGACTAAGCTTAATTAATTTGTTGATAGTTCCCCCAAAAGTGTGTTTAATACTAAGTTAGTTCCCTGCTGAACTCACAAGATTTTTATGGTGACTGGAGTAATAAAAGCCCATGCATTCCAAAGGAGCCCATAAACACTCCTAACTGCAAGTTGCAGACATGATCCTCTATTGAGCGAAACAACAACTGCATCAACTAGCTAAATAAATGGCTACATGATGCACAAGAAAGCATAATGCAATCAGGGAAGAATTGGGCTAACTTCATAACTCAAAACAACTACTCCTGTGAAGCGAAATGTTTAACATACTGAAGAATGCAACATACTAGAACATACTGGGTGTCAGTCCACATATGCATATCTGAAACGAAATGCTTCAGTCCTTTAGATGCAGAAGAATTCAGAAACGAAGTGCTTCAGTCCTTCAGATGCAGAAGAATTCATAACCGAAATGCGTCAGTCCTTCAGATGAAGAAGAATTCAGAAAAGAAGTGCTTCAGTCCTTCAGACGCATTCCGGTGCTAGGGTCCCACATGTCGGCAGAGCTTGAATGGTGGTGGAGCATCGGGGCACCAGCCGTGGATTCACAAGAGGGTGGTTGCCGGGCGAAAGCCCAGTCTTGGCTCCTTTGAGCCCCGACGGACAGCGGCGGCGGTCTTTCCGTTGCTTCTCTTCTTGAAGACGTCGTTTTGGCATCCCCTAGGGGGCGATCTCGTCTGGGTTCTTTTGTTGGTCTAGCGGCGGTCGGTCACGCTTAGCGGCGGCCGGTCCGGTGCTTGCCTTCTCCTGGGCTTGTGTGTTGGCGCTGTTGATGTGTGGGTGGTGGTATATTGGGCTTGTGTGTTGGCGCTGTTGATGTGTGGGTGGTGGTATATTTTTTCCTTTTTCCTGGTTACGACCCTCCAGGGTTGTAATCTTGTAATTTTTTCCTGCTTTATCAATAAAACTTCGCACCGTCTCGTGCGAGTCGTTAAAAAAAAAAAGTCCTTCAGACGCAGAAGAATTCAGACATGCAGCCTGTTCGGTTCATAAACCAAACAACAGACAGAGTACTAAAGGATCAGTCCAATGCATCTCTGAAACAAAAATGCAGAATTCTGAAAAATGTTGCAACGATGTTTTCCCTTCTCAATTCAATTCACACCAGAATCCAAAACGCAACAAAAATCTTCCCAATACAAATTCATGACCAGGGAAACATCCCAGATCGATCAAGCAGCAAATCTGCAATCCAGTCTCTTGGATTGGAATCACATCAACGCAATTGAACCAAACCAACGAGCAGACAGAGGAGACAGCGAACAATTAATAAGGAGGCTAACTGCATCGAAGCCAAGCAAACACAGGAAACAGCATTGATGGAAGCAAAATTATTCACGATCATGCAAGCGATCCAGCAGTTCAAAGCATTCAACAACACAGCCAATCGACTCTGTTCTTCTTGCACGGGACGGGATGCACGAACTCCCCGATTCGATCTGAATCTACCAGAGATGCAAGTACGCAACACACACCTACGAAACAACAACAATCACGACGAAGAACAGCCAGGTGTCTACTCCTCGAAGGCCCAGGCGTTCTCCCGGCGGATCTTCTCCTCCTCCTCCTTGGTGAAGTCCTTCTCGACGCCGAGGAACTTGCGGATCTCGTCGATGGCCTTGCCCGCCTTGATCTTGCGGGCGACCATGTCGCTGGCGAGGTCGAGGAGTCCATAGAAGCCGACGCGCTCGGAGGCCCGGATGATCTTGAAGAGGGAGTACTTGTCCTCGTCGCCGTCAAGCTCGTTGATGAAGCCCTCGTCCCAGATCTTGAGTTCCTCCTTGTTGGTGATGGCGAAGTGCTTGTTCATGTACTCGGCCATCTTCCTGACGGTCTTTATGTCGACCTTGGGGAGCGGGATCCCGTGATCGGCGCAGACGTTGTCGATCATGTCGCCGACGAGCTTGGAGATCCTCGCCTCCGCCTCCGCCTCCGCCTCGCTATCCTTCTCCTCCTCCTCCTTCTCCGCCGCATCCAACACCACCTTCTTCTCCAGCGCCTCCGGCACCATCGTGCCCTCTCCCTCCTTCTCCACCACCGCGGCCTCTCCGTTCCCCGTCGCCATCACTTGCGAAACCCTAACTCTCTCTCTCTCTCTCTCTCTCGCTCGCTCTCGGAAACTGATTACCTTAGCGATCGCCGGAAGCAGATGGGGTCGCCGATATATAGCCGCCGGCTCACGTGTTCTGGTTAAAGGCGCAGCCCGGAGACGGAGACGTGTTCGCCTTCGCCTTCGCGGCGGCCGTTGCATTTCCTCTTCTCCAAGAGTAGGAGAGTACTGTGATTTGCAGGCCTTGCTGGGCCAGTAGGTTGGGCTGGGTACGGCCCAGAGGAGAAGGTCGTGGGCTAGATTTGTACGGTTTGTTAGATATCCTTAGATTTATACGAAGTATATGTTGTTTTCTTCTCATACTGAAAACTCGTAGTGGATACTGTATTAATATATTCTTTTTCTCTTCAACGATGGCGATTCAATGCTTAAATCGAGGATAAAGTAGTCTCCAGCATATTGTTTTTTTTTTAGCAAGGGCAAAGGCCCCCATTTCTTTTACTAGAAATGATCATACCAGTACAGGTTCAGCCAAACGGCACAACAATCAAAAGAAGAAAAATGTCACGCCATTTCCCTGTTACTTGGCCTGCTAATTGAAAGGTATATCACTCATGTTGTTTGGTTCATTTGATTCGGCATCTTACTTTTTTTCCCCATATCACTCGTCTATGATCTCTCGAAAGGGAGTATTGTACCAGCCAGTATTATTTTTGTAAAACATGTGAACTTTCAAATTAGGCGTACAGAGTGTGTGAATTTTCTTTCTAGGAATTTTGTTGTTTTCAATTGACAACTGAACTTAATTTATTTGTTGATAATCCCCTAAAAGAGTTCTGAGTAGTTAGTCCCCTTCTGAAATAAAGAAATCTTGCAGGATATTTATGGTAACTGAAGTAATTAGTTCACACGAAAGCTATATATAAAAGTCATGTATTCAAGCCCGTGAACACAATTAGCCCTGCAAGTTACAAGCATGATTCTTCAGATAAGCCCATTCATCTCTGAAACGGAATGCTATAGATGCAGAAAAATGCAACACATTGTGACATGCAGAAGAATCCACATCCATATCTGAAACGAATTGTTTCATATCCAGAAGAATTCAGATACATCTCTGAAACATCTCTGAAATATCCAGAAGAATTCAGATACAGACAGACAAACAGAAAGACCAGTTTGCAACATCTCTGAAACTTTATCTGATAAGTTAGAAAACATGCAGGGAGTTGGATCAGTTTGCAACAAAGAAGGATCAGTTACTGTTAAGAACTGAACTAAACAACTGATGATCCGTTAGTCATCGGTACTAATCAATAAATACATCTATGAAACGAAATTTGCAGCAGATACTTTCCCTTATCTGTCCAGTTCACACCAGAATTCAGGCAAAACGCAAGCCACACAAATTCATGAACAGGAAAACATCCCCGGTCAGTTTGAGCACGGAGAAATGTTTGCTAATCTGCATCCAAACCCTTGGATTGGAATCCCACAAACGAATTGAACCACATGCCAACAAGTAGACCGAGTAGTCTAGCACCATGAAAACCGAGCAGAGACAGCAAACAATTTGGGGCAAAATTTTACAGTTCGAACAGACCAGTACATGCATCTCTGAAACGAAATGCAGCATTCAGATGAAAATCACAACGATGTTTTCACCCTCCTGAACTCAATTCGCACCTGAATCCAAGTAAAACGCAACACAAACTTGCACCCAATAAAAATTGTGAGCAGGAAAACATCCCCGAGTACTGAGAAATGCTGCAAATCTGAAACCAATTCGCTTGGTTTGGAATCCCAAGCATCACGAGTAGACAGAGTTAGAAACAGAGCAAGCATTTAACAAGAAGACTGACTGCATGAAAGCCAACAAGACACAGCAAACAATTTGGGGCGAAATATTCACTTCATGCAAGCGATCCAGCAGTACAAAGTACTCAACGACACAGCCGACTCTGTTCTTCTTGGACAGGATGCACGAACTCCCCGATTCGATCTGAATCTAGCAGAGACACAACACGCAACGACGAGAGAACCACCATTACACGACGGGTTAAGAGAGAAAGTGAGTGTTACTTCAAGACTCAGACGTTCTCCGGTAGTGTCTCAGTGTCTCCTCCTCCCCCTCCCCCTCCTAGTCGCAGAGTGTGAGGCTGAGGTCGATGTTGATGGGCTTGAGGTCGATGTTGATGGCCTTGAGGTCGAGGCTGTGGCTGAGGTGTTCGCCGGGATGAGGTTGACGCGGGTCTCCTCGGCGTCGGGGGTCTTGTTGCTGGTGTTAAACGGGTCGACGAACCTTTGGTCGGTGAGTTTGGAGAGTCCAGTGATTTTGAGGTAGTTGGAGGCCGCGAGGACTTCGACGAAGAGGATGTTGTCCTCGTCCAGCTTGTCGATGAAGGCCTTGTCCCAGTTCTTGAGTTCCTCTTTCCGCTCGTCGGTGTCGGCCTTGTTGTTGGCGTGCTCGTCGCAGTACTCGATCACCTTCATGAGGGCCTTGTAGCTGACGAACAGGCGCGGGATGGTCTCGTCGCCGCGGCGGCGGCCGTCGTCGATGAGGTTCCCGATGGTCTCGGACAGCCTCGCCGACGCCTCCTTCACCTTGACCGTCTTGCCGTCCAAGCTCTTGAGGGTGATCATCCTGCCGCCGCTCTCCTCCTCCTCCGCCACCTCGGGCACCACCTTCTCCGGCGAATCAAACACCGGATGCTCCAACGCCTCGGTCACCGCCACCTCCTCCGCCACCCCCTCCGACACCAGCTTCCGCACCAGCTCCGACACCGTCGCGACCTCGTCCTTCTTCTCCACCGCCACCTTCGCGAACGCCTCCAACAACGCATTCCCCACCCCCACCGCACCCGGCACCACCAGAATCCCCGCCGCCTTCGACGCCATCGCGGAGCCCTCTCCCTCCTCCTTCCCCTTCCCCTTCTCCTCCGCCATCACTCGCTCACAAAGATCGAGCCCTAGCTCTCCTTGCACTGACTAGTGACTACCTAAGCGCTCGCCGTGGATGCGAATGCGATGCGGTGGCGCGAGCCGGATTGATCGGTGCGAGGTCGGAGGCAGAAGGGGTCGCCGATATATATAGCCTCGCCGGCGGTGGAGGCGTGCTCGCTTTCGCTTCAAGCCTCTTCTCCAAGCCTAGCTGGCTCGCCAGCTGGACGGACTACTGTTTTGTCCAGGCCGTGTTGGGCTGCTAGATTGGGCTGGCTGCTGGGCCGACTGGAACAAGGGGGATTTGTTGTATATGGGCTGAGAATTTGTAATGGAATCGGCCCATTTATGAGGGCCACACCACTGACCACTGTACAAAGTTTTTTGTACGGTTGTCAAGTCTCCTCACGTTTATATGTTTTGTGGAGTTTTTTTTTTCTCGTACTGAAAAACTCCTGCTGTATATTGGAGTATATATATATTTTTCTTTTCAATGATCGTTGACGATCGTGTATCGCCAATTATTATTTAAGTGGAAGTCTCCGGCATATTTATGAACTACTGACAAGTGGTCCGTTATTAGGACTCCATAGAAATTTTTCCGTCTTAATTTTCTTTTTAGAGTAGGTGGATGGGTAAAACTAACACTGAAATCACAGCAACCAAGGAATGTGCCTAATTTCAGCTTGTTCATACACGGGTTTTTCTAGTTCGGCTCTAATTAACAAGAGTATTTTACCAAATATTATGTAACGCCATTTTCCTGTTACTTAACCTACAAATTGCAAGGTAGAGTATAACACATGCTGCTTGGTTCCACAAAAAACTGCAGTACTATTATTTCATTCGGCAACTTAGCACTGAACTTATTACATCACTCGTCTTTGATTGGCAACTGATTTCAATTGGCAACTGAGCTGAACTGAAGTGATTATTTATAAAATTCATGCATTCAGCATTCCAAAGGAGCCCATAAACACAATTAGCATTGCAACTTGCAAACATGATGCACAAGTTGAGCAAAACAACTACGTGGAATCCTGCCTCAACTAGAAGCACAGCACATGCAGGGAATTGGGTTAACCTGACCAAACAACTCAGAACATACTGTGAGATAAGTCCATGAATCTCATCTCAGAAACGAAATTCTTCAGATACAGAAGTGCTATCTGAAACAAAATGCTTCAGATGCAGAAGAAAATTCAGGCATACGCATGGAGTTGGGTTAATTAACCAAACAACGGACAACGTACTGAGTATATCTTTTTTTTGCCAGGTCGGCCGAAAGGTTCGGTCGACCAATTTCATTAAGAAAGGAAGGGTACATTACAATTAAAGAGCTTACAACGACAGTAAGCTGTCGAAAACAGATTGGGGCAAAATCCCTGACCCGTAAGCTAGAAAACTTCTACAAATTACAATGCATATTACGTGATCTCGCTATTGCACGTTGTGAACACTCCTGCCATTGAGAAATGCCCAGGGGTCTTCTGGCTAGCTCCACAAGGTGGTGGGCTAGACAACCTGGGTTCAAAGCCTCACCCCTCCTAATTATTTGATATTAGGTCCTTCCCTAATATTCTAGTTTTTTTTTTTGAACACTCCTGCCATCTTCCAGACAATGGCCTCTTCCTTGATATCTTGCACAAGCTGTTCTATGCTTCGAAATTTCTGTTCAAAGACACGCGCATTGCGTTCTTTCCACAGCAGCCAACATGTTAGCGCGAAAACACTGTCGAAGATGCTCCTGTAGCCCGTCCGAAAAGCCATCCTCGCCTTCATCCACCAATCTGCCAGGGCTGGTTCGTTCTCTGTAGGCAAGAGGAAATTGATTCCAATCCATCCCTGCATCATCCTCCATACTCTCCTGGTGAAAGCGCACGTACTGAGTATATCTGAAACGAAATGCAGCATTCAGACAAAACTGCGACGATGCATTTTTTCCACTTAGTACATTTTGCACTAGAATCAAAGCAAAATTGAACATGTCCTCTACCTTTAATGAAATTCAAACAGATATCTGGCCCTGGGAATCCTTCCAGGCACCCAAATAAGGCCTAGTGACCTGGAGTTCTGCTGACACAGCATTAAACTCGGATTACATTGAATCACACGGTAATTAGTTATCTTCAGTTTTCTCTCTAAAATTAAGTTCCAGATTTTAAGAAATGTACATGTCGACTGAAACTGTGCAATCCCCTGTTCACAAGTTCAGAGACAACGCCAACTCAAGCAGATTTACAATTGTACAGCAAATTTACATGGAACACACACAAGAAGGAAGCAAAGGTGCTGTAGCTGTAGCTCTCATAATGTCTCAAAACAAAAGGCAAAAGTTCAGGCATTGGATTGTTGCTAACTAATCTGGAGCAGAGCTCAGGAATTCAGAACACGTACAGAAATTTTATGAACCAAACAACACAGTAGGACACCATCCTAATAATGCTTGAGAAAGCAGACCACATGCAGGGAAATGAAGTGGGTTAACTTAACCAAACGACCAAGAACATTCTTCTGCTAGATCTGTCCATGCATCAATGAAACGAAAAATGCTTCAGATCCGGAAACCCATAACATACTTAGGGAGGATCAATCCAAATTTCTGAAACAAATGCTTCAGATGCACAAGAATGCAACACAGAACATACTAGGGAGTCCATATGCATATCTGAAACGAAACGCTTCAGATGCAGAAGAAAATTCAGACACGCATGGATCATTTCGAACAGATCAGTCTGTATCTCTGAAGCGAAAGCAGCATTCAGAATTCCAGATAAAAATGCAACGATGTTTTTTCCCCTTCTCAAATTAATCCGAACCACAATCCAAGCAAAATGCAACACCAAACTTGCACCCAATACAAACTCAAGAGCAGGAAACACATCCCCTGATCGATCGAGCACTGACCACTGAGAAATGTTGCAAATCTGCAACCGAATCTCCTGGATTGGAATCCCAACATCGAACCAGATGCGAACGAGTAGATAGCTAGAAATAGAGCAAATATTTAACAAGAAGACTAACTGCATGAAAGCCAAGCAGACACAGCAAACAATTTCGGGGCAAAATATTCACTTCATGCAAGCGATCCAGCAGTACAAAGTACTCAACGACACAGCCGACTCTGTTCTTCTTGGACAAGATGCACGAACTCCCCGATCCGATCTGAATCTACCAGAGGCACAACACACAACTACGAGAGAACCACCATTACACGACGAGGACACTACGGGTTAAGAGATTAGTGAGTATTACTTCAAGACTCAGACGTTCTCCGGGCGGGTCTCCTCCTCCTCCTCCTCCTTGTCGCCGAGCTCGATCTCGATGTTTCAGGCCTTGCCGATCTGCTCGCGGGTGGTCTTGCACTGGGAGGCGAGGTTGTGGAGTCCATCGATTTTGAGGTAGTTGGAGGCCATGATGACCTTGACGAGGGAGTCGTCGTCCTCGGCCAGCTCGTCGATGAAGGCCTTGTCCCAGTTCTTGAGCTCCTCTTTCTGCTCGTCGGTGTCGGACTTCTCGTCGGCGTGCTTGTCGCAGTACTCGACCACCTTCTTGAGGGTCTTGTAGCTGACGTCCGGGAGCGGGATGGCCTCGTCGCCGCGGCCGTCATCGATGATGTTCCCGATGGTCTTGGACAGCCTCGCCGACGCCTCCTTCACCTTGACCACCTCGCCGTCGGAGCTCTCGAGGGTGATCATCCTAGCGCTCTCCGCCTCCAGCGAGACCTTCTCCAAATCATCGGACAACGCCTTCTCCGCCGCGTCCCACCCCGCCTCCTCCAACGCCTCCGTCACCGCCTTCTCCACCGCCTCCTCTAGCAACTTATCCGCCGCCTCCGCCACCGCGGCCTCTCCCTCCTCCTCCATCATCTCCACCTTCTCCAAAGCATCGTACACCGCCTTCTGCACCGCCTCCACCACCGTCTCGGCCTCTCTCTCGTCCTCCACCTGATCCACCTCCATCGGCATCACCGCCTTCCCCTTCTCCTCCGCCATCGCTCGATCGCTTTCTCTTGCTGAGCCCTAACTCTTCTTGCCGTGGATGGTGTGGCACACGAGATGGATTGATCGGTGAGAGACTGAGAGGTCGGAGTCGCCGGTATATATAGCCGCCGGCGAGCGGGTTCGGGTCAGGAGGCGTGCTCGCTTTCGTGTCCGTTACGTTTTTTTTTTCTACTGCAATGCAAGCCTTACCTGGCACGCCAGCTGGACGAGAGCGGCTGCGTTTTGCGGGCCACGTTGGGCCAGAGGCTGTGGCAATTGTAATAGATTCGGCCCATTTATGAGGACCATGTTGTCATACAGTACATTGCTCCCATTTTTCTCCTCTTTTGTCGGTTGGTAAAAATTTCCTCACGTTTACATATTTTGAATTTTTCTCTGAAGACTCCTACTGTATATATTTGTCTCTTTGATTTGATCGTTGGGGATCGTATCACCGCTTAAGATTTATTAAATCAACTCGGACTCCGGCATAATGATGGATTACAGTAACTGATGCTAGTAACAATTAACAAGTGGTTCATAGTTAGGAGAATTTTCACCATCTTAATTTCCTTCTAAGAAGTCACCGGAGCAACCAAGGAACATGCCTGATTACTAGGAGTAATATGGATATTTTAGCAAATATTCTGTGACACCATATTTTTTTTTCATCGAGTGTAGGGGCAGGAGCTCTGCCATTTCATTGATACGAGAAAGCAGAAAAAACAACAACGAAACGCAGAGAAGCCATGAAAACTAGTACATTGTAGCTAAAGCTTCCTCTCAGGCCTTGCACAGGTTTGTGATCATGTGCACTACATCTGCTAACTTCGTAGCTGCCACTGAAAATTCTATTGTTCCTCTGCAGCCATATGCACCAAGATAAAGAGTGTGCAAGCCGAAAGAGTTTGTGAATTGTGATCATGTCACGCCATGTTTTTCCTTTTACTTGACCTGCAAACTGCAAGATATGAGTACTGCTCTTCATCATTAGGCGACTGATGCCACATCACTCATCTTTGATCTCTAGAAAAGGAGATAGTACCAACTAGAGTATTCCTTTTTGTAAAGGAAAAAATACGAATTACTCCTCTGAACTATCACGGTCGATCGAATTACCCCCCTGAACCACAAAACCGGACATTTTTCACCCTGTACGCGTGACAGTTCAGTCAGCATTTTATTTTTTTAATGGTAGGATCCCACATATCATCCCCTCTTTCTCTCTTCCTCTATCTTCGTCATTCAACGGGCAGCGGCACGCATGGCACGGAGCGGGGAAGGGCGATGGGCGGCGGCGTAGGGGCGGGCCGGCGGTGGGCGCGCACGCGGCTCCGCTATGGTGCTGGCCGCGTGCGGCCCCAACTCCTGTTGGCCCAAAACTGGGAGACGTTGGCCCAACCAGGAGAAAGCCTTACTACACACTCCTGTTGGCCCAAAACTGGGAGACGTTGGCCCAACCAGGAGAAAGCCTTACTACACCCCAAAAGCTATATTCCCAACAATCTTCCTCGTCACACATTGGTGCCCCTTAGCCCTGACCGGCCCCACACACAGGCACATACGGGCCTCACACCCGCGGTCCACTGGGCTTTGGGCTTACACTACCCTGAGTGTGCACAAACACTAGAGATTGTGGGTTTGGCTCTGATACCACTTGTTGGCCCCAAACCGGGAGACGTTGGCCCAACCGGGAGAAAGCCTTGCTACACCCCAAAAGCTAGCTCAAGAGGTGAGGGGCTCCCCCCACTTTTAAGTTGGTTTAACTCCCCCTAGATTAGCAATGTGGGACTATTCCCAACAACTTCGCGTGATGCCGCCACGACCAAGTGACCAACCCTCGTGTTGCCTCCGCGACTGCGCCGCCGCAGCCTCACGACTGCATCGCAGTCCCTCCCGCAGTGGCGAGACGGGCGCACTAGCAGCACCATGGCCGGTCGTCCCCGTGCGGCGGATGGACGCCTCCACGGCCGCCTCTGGCGGACGATGCACAAAAAATGGTGGTCGTCCCGAGCTCATGGCTGCCTCCGCGGCCGGCAAAGGGCTACCTCGCTCCGAGAGCTTCGAGGAATAGGCAGCTTTCGTATGCATGAAGGCATCACTTCATCAGCACCCAGCAGCATGCATGGTCCTGCTCGCGCTCGTACACGGTCCTTGAGCAGAAGCATGCAAGGCGTGAACTCCGTGGGGTATGGTGGCCACGGGCGGCTCCGCCGCCTCTGCCGGGCACGCGCGTCATCGCCGCCTCCGCGGGCACGCGTGGCTCCGCCCACCTCCCTTCCCCGCGCACCCACGCCATGCGTGCCGGCCGCCGGCCTGCACGCCACTGCCCGCTAACTGACGAAGAGAGAGGCGGCCGCTTGGCGCGGCTTCCCCCCCTCCCTCTCGGCGGCGTGCAGGCGGACGTAGCTCGCGCGCGGCTTCCCCCCTCCCTCTCGGCGGCGTGCAGGCGGACGTAGCTCGCGCGCGTGCGGGCGGACGGAGCTCGGCGCTGCTTCCCCCCTCCATCTCGGACAGAGCTCAGAGCAGGATGCAATCCGACCGCCTCGCCATTGTCGCCTTTTCCGGCGCCTCCTGCCGCTGCGTTGGATGACGCGCCAGGGCCAGCGCTCCGCCCGCCTGCCAGATCGTCGACCGCCTCGTCGACTGCGCCGCCGCCCAGGGCCAGGGTAGGCCGTCTGCGTCTGCGACGCGCTGCGCAAGGCCACCAAGGTGCTCGAGGACCACCGTGACCGCAACCCCGTCGCCATCGTCATGCTCCTTTCCGACACATAGAAGAAGCAGCAGCAGGATGTGATCCGACGCCCGCTAGCCGCCCCTCCGGCCACGCGATTCACGCACGTCGAGATCCCCATCGGGCCAGGGGAGGAGCCGGCGTGGTCGGCGCTGGTGGCAGAGGAGGACGACCAGATGGGAGACGGCTCGAGGCCCCCTTCGCCTCGCCGCTCCGACGGCGCCCCCACCTCCACCGCCGGCCAGCTCCTTCGCGGCTGCTGCCTCCCGCCCACCCTCCATCCCACCGGACACCGGCGCCCAGCCGCCCCTCCTCTGTGAGAGAGAGAGAGTGAAAGAGAAGAGAGAGAGGAAGAGTGAGAAAGAGAAGAGAGAGTATGAGTGTATGACAGGTGGGTCCCACATTTTTTAATAAATAGAATGCTGACTGGACTGCCACGCGTACGCCACGTAGACTAAAACAACCGTGGATTGGGTCCAGGGGGGTAATTCGTCCGGTTTGCATAGTTGGGGGGTGAAGAATGTCCAGTTTTGTGGTTCGGGGGGTAATTCGGTCGACCACGATAGTTCGGGGGGGTAATTCGTACTTTTTCCTTTTGTAAAATAAATTGCTAACTTTTAAGAAGGTGTTCAGAGTTTGTGCGAAGAAACTCAACTGAGCTTAATCAATTTCTTTAAAGGAAACACTATTATATTCAATTGGCAACTGAGGTTAATTAATTTGTTGATAGTTCCCTCAAAGAATTTTTTGTAGTTAGCCACCTTCTGAAATGAAGAAATCTTACAGGATTTTTATGGTAAATGAAGTAATTAATTCATATATACAAAACCATATAAAGTCATGCATTCCAAATGAACCGGTAAAAACACTTAGCATTCACAAACATGATGCATTAGACCACTACTAGTTGAGTGAGCAAACACAACTACTGCGCCAATTAGCTAAATGGCTACATGATGCGGAAGAAAGAAGAACACATGCAGGGAAGAATTGGGTTAAACTTGTCCCACCAAATCAGTTTTTTTTTTAAAGGAACCAGCACAAGAATGTGCTTATTCATTGAATATAGCAGGAGAAAAATACAACCCCTAGGGGTAAAGAAAAAGCAAAAAAACAAGGAAAGCTGTACACTATACAAACTGCGAGATGATCTCTCCAAGACGCTTGGCACCTGCCAAGGCCCACATGCCAGCCTCTTCTTTTATCTTTGAAAGGAGATACGAGGTTGTGGCTTCCTTATGATCAAATATCCTCCTATTTCGCTCCTTCCAGACTTCCCATACGATGAGTAGAATCAGAGTGCGGAGTCCCTTCTTGGGGACGCCAGACACAGAGGCCAGCATTTCCCACCAATCTTTGACCGATTGCGCCACCCCCCAGCGTCGGGGTTCTAGCTGGTGGAACCCTACCCATGTCGCAACGAGGTTCCAAATCCGTCTCGTATACCTGCACTCGGCGACGAGGTGCAAAGCCGTTTCATATTCTCTTCTGCAGAGAGGGCACTTGCCATTATTTTGTCAACCCCTAGTCGCAAGCCGGTCAGAGGTCCAAACCCTATTTTGTATGATAAGCCAAGCGTGGAGTTTGCATTTTCCGGGCGCCCAGACCTTCCAGATCAAGGAGTCAAAAGTTGTGTCAGGCGCGCCAACACACTGCGCTTTGTAGGCCGATGAAGCCGAGTAGTGCCCATGAGGAGTGAACTTCCAGGCGATTTGGTCTGACTCTTCTTCTTCTAACTGCACGTTGCAGACTGCAGTCCATAGGGCAACCAGCTGCTCCACAAGGGCCACTGTAATTACTGGGTTTGTCTCCAGTGCCAAATCACCTACCCAGGCATCATTCTCCTTTCCTTGGCGCAGGTTCTTTTTCCTCTTCTTAGAAATTGCATATACTAGGGGCATGAGGTCCTTTGGTCTTCTCCCATCAATCCACGCAGTGTCCCAGAATCGCGCTATATTCCCATCACCAATGGTTATCTTAGTGGATGCGGCAAACAAGCTCTTGTCTACTTCGTCGCAGGGGATCTCGAGACCAACCCATGGCTTGTTTGGGTCCTTCCATTCATGCCACAGCCAGCGTAGACGCAGGGCTCTCATGAATCTTTCTAGGTTCAGGACCTCGAGGCCTCCTTGCCTAATTGGCAGACACGTCTTTGTCCAATTGACTTTGCATTTTCCACCCGTGATGTCCCCCGTGCCAGCCTAGAGAAAACGTCGCCGCTGCTTGTCTAGGCACTCCAAGGCTTCCTTTGAAGTTTTCAGAGCGGTCAGTAAGTAGATTGGCTGCGCCGTAAGCACTGATTTTAAAAGTGTGGACCTCCCGGCAAGTCCCATGTTTTTGCCTCTCCATCCTATTATACGCCCTGTGAT